CACCGGTACTCGAACAACGGGACGTATCCCCCAAAAGCCTCACGGATGATGTGGGTGCAGACATCGAATTTGCGGCTGCCTTGGCTGCTGCCACCGCAGCCGCAGGCTTTGATCCTGCCCTCGTGACGGAGGATCCAACATATCATACGCGGTCTTCGCCTCCTGGCTCTCGAGGTGGGGTCGAATACAAGCATCCCTGGGTTGAGGCCGAGTTAGAGTCTCGGATTCCGCATGGCTTTGTCGAAGGCGAGGTTGAGACCCATGAAGATGAAAAAGCCCAACCCAATAGTGTCGTCGAAGAGCAGCCACTGTACTCTGAACCCGAGCCTGTTTCACGGGAACCTGACAATCAAGAACCCTCTGAGCCTCAAACTCGGACTTCGATCGCTCAGGAGGTAATTGACCGGCTCAATGAAAAGCAAGATGAGCGAGACGGCTCAAGTAAAGCTCCATCCGATACAGAAAAGAGTCCAAGCTCTGGCAAGAAACGCGATGAATCCGAGCTCCCTCCTCAAGGCTCCTTTTCCATGCCTGGCGGATTTGAAACAGAAGAGTCGACCCCGGGATCGAAGCGTGATGTTGACTCGCGTGACGACGGTGAATTAGACCGCCGATCCGTTGCTTCTGCCCCTGTATCTGGTGAATACGATTCCTCAACAAGACCAAGAAAATCCACACAAGACAGTGGCTACTTTGACGATGGTGAAGATGCCGTATCTGCGTCAGTTGAACAGGATGGCAGTGAGGGAAAGAAAAAGCGACGGAAGAGGCGCTCCAAGCGTGACAGTGACACCTTTACTGATTCTGCTTCCGTAACATCCTCGCCCGCCAGAATTGGGCAGTCCAGCGAGAAACTCAAGAGCATGGATGACAAGGATAAAGAGAAAAAAGCGGGAGGTTTCTTCAGCAGTATCTTTGGCTCGAGAGTTTCAGAACCGGTAGACAGCAAGAGCTCGTCCTCTGCAGTTAGAACTTCCTCGCGCGATGTTCAGTCCGAGGTCGGACGTCGAGAGTACGAGGAGTCTCGCCGCCGGAGGAAGGAGGAAAGGTCCTCCCGGCGAGATGAGGAGAGCGGTTCCGACAAGGAGAACAGTAAGGCTAGAGACAAGGATGGTATTGACATTGAGAACTACAAGTCTAGCAGGCAACGGAGGGAAGAGAGACGGCGACGAAGATACGAGGATATTGTGGATTCGGGAAAACCGGGGGAGTATGAGAAGGTATAGTCATCTTTAACTGTTTTGATCTCATTTACTGTAACGTGTCTTGTGCTCGGTTTATGGCCCGGATATGGACCGATCAAGCAAGCCAGTCTTAACGCGCATATGCTAAAATGATTTACTCCTCGTTTCCTCCCCGTATAGGATCGAAAAATATCGGAAGACAACGACGAGAACCAGTCTTTTTTAGCAGAAAGCCCCGAAATGCCAGTCCAGATAGGCGACGGCGATAGAGAGTGTGGTGCTTCGGGGCGCGTTCGTTTGGCAGAGGGGCCGTCACAGGGTTAGGTATAGGCGTACTAGAACAGCGGCCAAGAGGGCGCTCGACACCTCCTGAAGCTTCGGAGAGAATCATGGACCCAGCCCCCAGGTCCCGGAGTCGACCTGCCTCGCCCGAGCCGAATCAGCGAGAGGGAGACAATCAGAGCCAGTCGTCACGACGATCATCCATACTGCGGTCGAAGGATTCTCCTACCGCGGTGCCGTTGCACTTCCGTCGCCCCCAGTCTCGCCTGGGACAAATCGTTCGGTTTCCGTCGGCGTCCCTACTGTACCGTCTCCAGGGTCTCCAACAACCCCTAAACGCCGACCAAACTCTACAGAGTTCAAGCATTCGCGCGAGATCCGGCCCCTGTGGTTGGTAGAGCGTCACGGTCCTGGACACGGAGAGCATGAGCCCGAGGAACCGTTACCATCGCTGCCGTCAAGCAAGACTTCATCCGCGAATACCTCCGTGGAAGACCTCACTGCGCTTCAGGACGAGAGAAGCTGGGAGGCGGTTGATCTGAGCCATCATGTCCATGGCACTCGGCGACTAAGCGGCATTGACGTGTCTCAGAGCCGAGCGTTCGAGCACGATGCCCTAGGTTCTCAGCAGGTGACACCTACGGCGGCAACTTTCGAGCAGATACACCCACATCCTCCTTCACGGAAAGAGAAGCTGAAATATGAGTTCCATTCTCCCTCGGAACTCCTTCAGGATCCGAGCCCGTACGGAGACGTACAGCCCTTTGACATGGGAGATCTCCCATCCGCCGAGGGCTCGGCCGTGGGTGTCAAGGATGCAAGTGCTGAGAATGAAGACAACGTAGAACGTGCGGCCGAGGCCTTGCCCCCTCGGCCGTCTACTCCGCAAAATAATGCCACCGCGGCCTCTGAAGACACGGAGACCACCCCTACTCAAACCAGGACCGTGAATGCTTTCGAAGGTCCAGGATTCGCTGGGGTGGTTGATGCTGCTGTTGCAGCAGCTGTGGGCGGCCATCTCAGCATGCAGCCGGATGTTGCAATTTCCGACAAAGAAGGCCCAGTGGATCTTCATTATGATGTGGATAGAACTGATAGGTCAATTGCCGACCATGAACCCGCAGCAACCTCCTTCCCCGCCCCCGGCGCACCTCTGGACTTTGCAGCCGTTGTCGATGCTGCGGTTGCTGCAGCCACCAGTGCTACTGGCGAGAAGCCCCAGGCTGCTAAAGAAATTGAGCAGTTGCCTGAGATATCCGAGCCCGTAGCCCAAGCGCCCCACCCTGACGAACAAGAGGCATCACATCCGACCGGGAACGACGACAGTGTCCCGCGAGATGACAAGCGAAGGGATTCGGTGGATACAGTGGTTGCCCTAGCGGAAGAAGCATCCGATGAAAAGGAGAAGCTGGACGTTAGTGCGGTCATCCCAGACCTAAACGGTGAAAACAAGGAGCTTCCATCTGAGACAACAAGTGAGAACGCGAACGACAATGATCAGGCTCAAACAGAGGAGCCGCCGGTCGATACTGCCGAGCCATCTTCGTCTTCTGCCAAGAAAAAGAAGAAGAAGAAGGATAAGAAGAAGCGTCAGAGCATGGACTCAAGCACTCATGGGCCAACTACGCCTGTGGATGACTCGACTGTCGCTCAGAAGGAGGTGGGGATATCTACTGTTGAAGATGCACGGACTGATGCCGTCGAGCCGTCCGAGCCAGCACCAAAGGAGCAAGTTCTTGCTGAACAGCCTGCCAGTGCTGAACCTGCACCTGCGCCCGAGCAGGAGCCTACAGAGGCTACAGTTGATATAGAACAAGTCACTGAAGCGCCGGAAGTCAGCAAAGCACTTGAAGAGGAACCGACGCCTGCTGCACCCGAGGATACGCCTGCCGAGTCAACTGCTGAAACACCGGCGGAGGACCAGGCCGAGACGGCATCTTCCAAGAAGTCTAAAAAGAAGAAAAAGAAGAAGAACAAGGGCTCTGCTCCTGAGCAGAACACGGAGGACCCCACTTCTGCACAGACTCTGGAAGCATCAGCTGCAACTTCGCCGGTCATCGCGGGAGAGCAGGTAGAACCAACCGTGGAAACTACACAGCCTGCAGAGGGAGAACCAAAGCCTACCGAGGAGAGTACCATTGCTGTGGGTGAGAATACTGTGGAGCCCGAACCGGTGCGCAAGGAAATGGAAGCTACTGAAGGCCTTCCCCTCGCTACGCTTCAAGATGCTCCAGTACCGGGAGATTTTCAAGGCTCCTCAGTAGAGGCCGATAATGAGGCTAAAGAGTTGCCTCAATCTGGACAAGTGTTGCAAGCCGAGTCTACTCGCGATCAAGAGCTACCAGAGAATACCGAGACCACCCACAAAACAGACGACTTGAGTTCAGGCATAGATCCTTCGGGACATCCAGTGAGTGATATGGTGAATGAGACGGTCTCTCCTGAGGTTTGGCATGACGCATTGGCTTCCTCTTCCGAAGACAAGAGCGCCGAACCCCAGCAAGCCGATTTTGAACCCGATGAGCCACGGAAGGAGAAGGCACCAGTGTCTGAGATACAGCCAGACGAAGAACTTTCTGAGATCTCAGAAAAACCTGTTGAGGTGGATACTCCTACTATCACCCAAGTCCTTCCCGAGGAACAACAAGAGCAGTTGAAGGAGCCCTCTACTCCCGTGTTTGATTCTCCTTCTACGGATCGGGTCGAAACAGCAGAATCTATCGTTCAGAACGAAGAGCTCATTGCCACTACCACGGAATCAGAAACTCCCTTGTCACGCAAAAACAGCAAGAAGAACAAGAAGAAGAACAAGCGGAAGAACACTGCAGAGACGCCAGTTCAGAATGAGGCTGTTGATACTGCAGAGCCTATTTCTTCAGTTGAAGGCGTGCCTGAATCTGGCCCCGAGGCTACAACCACTGCTGCGGAGGAACCTCAAGTAACGTTGCCGGACGAGGCTGTCGATGAAAATAAGGGAGAAGCTACGGACGCTCAAGACGTCAAAGAGGAACCCTTACCTGAAAACACGGCCGCGGTAGCGAATGATTCCCAGCCGATTGCAATTGAAGAAACCCATCAGGGCGCAGCGGAAGAGCCCACGCCAGACGTGGTAGCTGAGAGCATGAGCGAATCACAGCCCGCTGCACCTCAAGACGTCCTGGACACCGCACCGGAAGAGCCCGTTGACGAGCAACCAAAAAAGAAAGACAAGAAAAAGAAGAATCGCCAATCAGTCAATGTTTCCGAGTCCCAGCCTGAGTCTGAGTCAGAAGCCAAGACTGAAGAGCTCCGATCTGTTGAACCTGCGGAGACCCGCAGCCTCAAATAAGCGGTGAGGTAGCGGGCGACAGTCAGGTACCGCCAGAGTCGGGTGTCTCAGAAGCACCTGCAGGGATTGAAGACGTTGCCCCCATTCCCGCAGCGAAGGCCGTTGAACTGAATTTAGCTGTGGAGAAAGACGAGGCCAATGGCGGGGAACCACATGTGCCCGGGCCCAGCGAGCAGCCAAATAATGAAACTGTGCCTGGCCCTGAACCGGGCCCCGAACCTGTGCCCGAAGCGGGGGAAGTTGCACCGGCCGGCAAAAAGAGCAAGAAGAACAAGAAGAAAAAGCAGAGCCTGTCTCTTGCACCAAATGAAACGCCTGCTTCCGAGTCGTCAGCTCCCGCAGACGCTGCAGATGGGAATGCCAATTTGCCTGCCGCACCCGAAGATTCCTCCTTGAAAACGGATCAAGAGCCAATGCGAGAGGAGCCAACTGGAAGCCAGCCGACCGTCGACTCAGTTGCTGAAACACCAGATCTAAGCATGGCGGAGGAAGCTGTCCCTATGACCGCCGCGCAGAAGAAGAAGGCAAAGAAAGAAAAGAAGAAAAAACGCCAGTCTGCTTTCCTGGATGAAACACCCGCATCTGAGTCAATTGAAGAAGCAGATGCCAAGGATGTTACTTCTGAAGGTGCTCAGATGCCCCCGGAAGTGCCGTCTGAACCGCAATCATCCGAGCCTACTTTGGATGCCATTGAGCATGCGGAAGCGACAGCTGAGCACTCGCAAGAACAACCCAAGGAAGATGTGTCTTTGCACGCGGATCGCAGCCCCGACTCTGATGGAGAGTTCGTGCTGGTACCAGAACACGTGTCCCACGGATCCAATGATGAAAATACACCCCAAGCTGCTTCCACGGAGTTCGATGTCACACAAGTGAAAAGTGAATTGGAAAAACAGCCATCGACCCAGGAAGGCGTGTTGGATGCAAACGAGGCCGCTCCCGCTGAAACACCATGTGCTGCTGACCAACCTGTCCAAGAAGAATCCAGCCCTACGCCAGCGATGGAGGGCGGTGCTGCCGTCGAAGAAGCAGAGGCTGCAGAAAAGGATATACCTGAAGATTCTCCAGACAAGACAATTGAACACAATGATACTCCAGACGATACCTTGGCGGCAGAGGAAGCTCAAACCGAAGTATTCAGCACAGAGGCTACTCAAGAGACTGACCAAGGTGGTGCAGCTCCAGACGTCGAAGCTAGCTCTGAAGGCTTGATTCAGGATGACCAGCCTTCCGCTTCCTCCAAAAAAAAGGACAAAAAGAAGAAGAAGAAGCGCCAGTCGCTTGCTCTAGACGATGAGCAGACTCACTTTACCAAGGAAGAACTAACTGCTGAGCCTTCCTCCGACCCTGCTCCAGAGCCCTCAGGCGTTGATGAATCGGCACCTGTTCCTTCTACCCCTGAAGAGCAGCAGAAGTCTGAGATCGACGCCTCTGAAACCGTTGCAGGGACAGCTGCCGAGCCAGCACCACCTCTCACTTCAGAAGAACCAGAGAACATTGCGGAAGCTCCATCCACTGAAGCTACACAAGAGCCCGCTGCAGATGAAACGCAGACTGCGGAGTCCACAGAGGAAGCTCAAACAGCAAAGTCCAGGAAGAAGGCAAAGAAAGACAAAAAGAAACGAAAGTCTGTCTCCTTCGAGATTGAAGAGCCGTCGACTCAGCAGAGTGAGCCTGACCACCCTACTGCGACTTCTGGCGAAACTGTGACCCCACATGAGGATCCAAAGCCTGAGGACGAACCTACCTCTCAGAAAGATCGTTCTGAGGGGTTCCAGCCTGGAGAAGCAGTCCCTGAGAGCCTGACTCAAGATGGCGCAGATATTGTTACTCAAACTGACAAACCTGAGCCAACCGCCGAGGCTACAGAAGTTACAGAGCAACACAACCAGGCGACGGAGCCTTTCCCAGGTCCGATCACAGAGGAAGAGGCTGCTGTGGAAGAAACTGCAGCTGCGCCATTGGTTGATGAGGCGCCCCAATTACAAGAACAGAAAGCCTCGTCGGAAGCCCTCCGGTCTGAAACTCAGGAGGACGGTGTCAAGAGGGTCCAGGACACTGAATCGTTAGACGAGAAGAAAGAGGAGCCTGCTGTCTCGCCTTCGCTAGAAGACAACGAGAGTACCAAGCCAGAGGCCTTGGCGGAACAAGCAGAGTCCGAGCCGCAAACGCCCATTGACGATGGTGAGAAAGGGGTCGGCCCCTCTAAGTCAAAGAAAAACAAGAAAAAGAAGAAGAAGAACACCATTGAGTCAACCGAAGACGTGCCAGTGACACCGCCTGAGCCTTCAAACGTTGAGCCTCTCGAATCGACACCGGTCCTTGAAACGGGAAGGGCCCACGACATTGCCGAGGCTGACACCACTGTGTCTGAAATTTTGCACGAAGAGGAGAAACCGGAAGACGAGCCCAGCGGGTTTATGTCAGCAAAAGCAAAGAAAAAGGCGAAGAAAGACAAGAAGCGCCAGTCCAAGATTCTTGATAGCGCAAACGACGCCGCCAGCACCGCCGAAACCGCCGCAGATATCTCCGAACAGGCGCCCTTGGACACGCCAAGTGGCGAACCGGATGGCCCAGATGCGAAGCTCTCACAAGAACCGAGTGAAGCCGTCTCTACCGAAGCGAAGTCCTCGGAGCCATCGCCTGAGACGGCACTCGCGCCTGCTGAAGATGACGGTAAAGAAAATCAGTCCCACGACACCGAACCACACGGCGGCAACGATAAAGATCTGACTTGGACTGATCACATGGTATCTTCGCAGGTAGAGCAACAGCAAGCAACGTCTTCCGATCGTCCGTCCCAACCCGCGCTTGAAACCGAACCAACGTCCATCGGCGAAGCAGCAACACCTATTGAGGTGGAACAACGTGAAAATAATGCAGACTATGCTTCGCCGGCTGTTGGTGATGGGGTAGAGGGACCTGGTGAAAAAGGTACGAGAGTCAAGAACGAGATTGCGGCCGAGAGTCCCGAGAGACGGCGCGAGGGCCTACTTGAGATACTACAAGAAGAGAAGGGAGAGATATCGAGCCAAGGAGAAGACGCCATTCCGGTTAAAAGCGACTCACAAGTGGAGGAGTCGGTGAAAGCACCAGTTGAAGGAACACCTAAAGATACCATGAGCCAGGAACACGCTCCAGAATCCGTGCTGGATGGCGGAGATGCCGCGACTAAGCATCAGTCTACCGATATTGAGGTAAACGAGCCTTCAAAGTCAGAGGACATCTTCGAGCCGGAGAACGAAGAGTTGCCATTACCAATCTCAGGAAAGAAAAAGAAGAAAGACAAGAAGAAAAAGAAGGCGCAACAGGAGACAAAGATTGATGAGACGTTGCAGGATGATTTGGTAGATGCCGTGCAAGAAGAATCACCAACAAGCCGTGAGATGACCGATACCGCTTTACCTGTTGCCGAGTCTCAGGCCGATCCAGTTGCTGAGCCCTCGCACGAGCTTCCCGAACCACAGAAAGCAGTTGAGACCGCAGTTGAGGACAAAAACATGGAGGAGACCCTAGAGGCGAAACAAGACGTTACGCCTGCGGAGGACGGTTTTCAGGAAGCACCGGCCCTTTCCCGGAAGAAGAGTAAGAAGGACAAGAAGAGGGAGCGCGTTGCTCGAAAGGCTGCTGTTGAGTCACGCGAGAATGAATTCAGGGAGGAACAGCTTGCGACTGAAGAGCACCTCATTCCACCTTCGGATGCTCAACTAACCGAGCTCGCGACTCCTGTGTCCACCCAAGCACTAGAGACACCTACCGAGACCACGGTAGACGCTAGCGAAGGGGAACTGCATTCGAGCGCCGTTCAATCCACTGTTCCTGTGGAAGACAATATAGAGGCCATAGAAACCTCTGAAGCTCAGACAGTTGAAAGCTTCCGAACACTAGAGGCTCCCGAACAGCCATTGGAGCGGAACATTTTGCTGAATGATGATGCAGCAACGGCTCCAGAGGAACTACCTGCTGTGGAGAAGTCAGCCGCTGATGAGACAGCTACGGAACCAGTAATCGAAGAAGCAGCCCTGAGTCGTAAAAACTCTAAGAAGAAGGCGAAGAAGGCAAAGAAGCAAGCTCAAGAACAGCAAGAAAAGAACACAGCTCCCGCCCCTGCTGAGCTTGGAGAAGACAGCTTTGTGGAGACTACGCCCGCCATACCAAGCAAGCCTGGCCCGGTGGACAGTTCTGGTGATGTTCCTGAGGCGAACATTTTGGAAGAGCAAGGGACGCAACTTGAAAATTCTGCGCAGTTGGTCCCATCGGACGCCGCTCGACCTCAAGAGACTCTTGAGCAGACTCCGAATATGATCGACCAAACCGATGATGTGCTATCGATGGGGCAGGAAAAAGAGGACAATTTCCAGGCTGAACCAAGCCAAGGCCTTGAGAATAGAAACGACCAAGTTGCCGAGGATGCCGTCGAGAGTCAGCCTGAACCCACAGCAGCTGTTGCGAGAAAATTGTCCAAGAAAGAAAAAAGAAAAGCCAAGAAGAAATCTGCCAAGGATGCCATTGAGCCTTCAGACGAGCCGGAGCTGCGAAACCCAACGGATTCTATCGGAGCATCTGTTTCTACGACGGAACAAGTCAAGACTGACGAAGATCCATTTCTGACTGTTGTCTCAGACAAGCAAATGGTCGAGGAGGTTCCACGGCCACTTGAGGTCGAGCCTAGAGCTCTGGAGGTGCACCAAGGTGCCGCTGACGAGGATAACTGGCCTGCAATAGACTGGGAGAAAGGTAAAGTCGAAATCAAAGAACAGACGCCACTGGCATCACCTGAGGCTCATGCAGTTCCTTTTGAGCCAGCCATTTCAGAATTCGACGAGACTGCCATCCCAGAGGGATTGCTTAGACTACAAAGTCTATCACGTGAAGAGCAACTACTGGGAGGCAACGACGGAAGTTCACAGCATACAGGAGCCGATGAAACAAAAGCTGTTCCGCAAGAAGGTGGGATGATGATAGAGCCTTCTGCTGTGGCCGAGACGGAGCAGTCTGCCGGACTGAAAGCAGAATCTGCGAGTTCGCAAGTGGCTCCTAAGGCAATTCAGGAAGAAACTGTGCAGCATCCTGAGAACGAATTGGCACGGGATCAAGCAAAGAGCGCGACGGAAGTGGTGCCGTCTAAGCAAAGCAAAGTTGGGAGCATCTTCCCAAATCTTGAGCGCGGATCATTTCGACGACCTGTTCCGGGCCAAGAATTGATGCCGGTAAAAGATAGGGCTGAGGATGAGACTATTGACCACAATGCGGATGACAACAGCGCAATCAAGGTCTCGGAGGCGCCTATCCCGGCCGGCGAGCCGGAAGAGAGCCATTTACAGGGCCAGCAAGATGAGAAGAGTCCAGAGCCCACGACTACGGTTTCTACACGATGTCTATCTCTGGAAGAGCATACGAAAATGCAGGAAACAAGCAGCAGCAGCACCCCAGTTAACCTTGCTGTCGACGTTGAGATTGACCCCTCATACAATGTTTCTGTGATATCCGATGGTCCAGGGAACGAAACAAATTCTATTGAAGTCGAATGGAAGGACGACGGCGACAGGCGGACCCAAGAAGATGAAATACCCTTGTACGCACCATTGCCTGTGCATGAACAGAAGTCGGCCCTTGTCAGCCAAACTTCTCCCGTTGAAATGGACCGGGACGAGCGGATTCCGAGAAACGATTCTTCCTGTGGGCTTCGTCGCAGCCCGTCAATTCATGGGCGACACAATCACCCGCCGCGTACATGGTCGCTGGAGGATACACCGATCACCAAGGCAGTGACACCACCACCCCCATCTCTATTGGGGGGACCAGCAGGGGCCTCTGCGGACTTGGGCTCACCTCCACGTACTCCATTACAACCCATCGCGGAACAAGAGCCAGAGGATCGAGTGGAGCAAGCGAACCGACTCAGATCCATGGTTTCCGAACACGGGACGCCCCGTCTGGAGATGAAGCCCGAACATGTTCTTCCACGTCCCGAAACTCCGATCAGGAAGTTTACAGATAATGCATTGGCACGTCAGACATGGCCTGTGGCGGACAACGACAAGTTCAAAAGCTCAGAAGACGAGGATGCGGCTCTCGTTGTCAAGAAACGACGGCCAGGTAACGAATGGCCTGCAGAAGTACTAAAAACTCCGGACCAAGGAATCCCCATCCTTAGGCCCAGCAGCGTGAGCAGCATCAAAAGCGCGCAGAGCAATCACAGTTTGACTGGTGGGCAGCGCTCGCTACGACGCACCAGTCGCAACACCAGCGGGGATTTGCGGGCTGCTAGCCAGGCACAGGAAAGCCACAGTCCCCAGCCACACGCTACGCCCCAGCCTCCTCAGCCCCACCCTCCGATCTCAACATCGAGCGCATCGCTTCGTCTTCCTCCTACGACCCCGTCACGGACAAGGGCAAGCGCCCCATACGAGCCATGACGGACGTCTATGTAAGTGTTTCTCAATTCAATTTTGTTATCTCTTTTAATAGATGCGATTATTGTTGGCCTTCCAATACTAACTGGTCCCGGCCTAGGAGGGATGGGGAGAGACGCCCAGCTCGCCTCGGTCGCCGAGCCGACCCCCCAGTATCCGTCATCGTCGAAGTATGCAACACCTCCAAGAACTTGAAGCTCGTCTCGATCAACTCATCTCCGAAAATCGACTCCTCATTGCCGCTCGTGAAGCCGCCGAGGATAAACTTCGGAATGCTAGTGTCGCCCGTCGGAAGAGCGACCATACACTCAACGAGCGCAGTGCCGACCTACGTGACAGAGAAGCCGAGGTGGAAAATCTCAAAAATTCCGTGGAATGGCTTCAAAAGGAAGTGACCCGCCTAACAGAAGAGAACGAAGGGCTTGCTACGACGAACTCCAACCTGACCACCGCCCATGCCAAGGAAATTGAGTCGGTGCGCGAATCGTCCTCTCGCCAATTGGACGACTTGCGCTCGAGATATGAGCAGCTCTCAATGGAAGTGCAGAACACAGTGCGGCACGAAATTGAGACTGCGCTGGCGCGAAAGGATAATGAACTGCGACGGCTGAAGGAAGAGCTTGAGACCGCTCGGGATAAGGTGTCGCAGTTACAACAACAAATTGCGGCATCTTTGCATGATAATGTTCTCGTCTTCCGCGATGAGGATTACTTTGATGCTGCATGCCAAAAACTGTGTGGACATGTGCAGCAATGGGTGTTGCGGTTCTCCAAACACTCTGACCATCGACGTTGCCGCAAACTCGCTGAGATGCAGGACGAGAAGATTGCGGACCGCTTCGACAATGCGATCCTGGACGGCTACGATACAGATACCTACCTCGCCGACCGTGTTCGTCGCCGCAATGTCTTCATGTCGGTGGTGATGACCATGGTGTGGGAGTTTGTATTCACACGGTATTTGTTTGGCATGGATCGTGAGCAACGCCAAAAACTCAAGTCCCTGGAAAAGCAACTGAGCGAGGTTGGTCCACGGAGCGCTGTCCATCGTTGGCGCGCAATTACTCTTACCCTCCTGTCGAAGCGACCGGCATTTGCTCGTCAGCGTGAAAGCGACACGGAAGCGGTTGCATTGGAAATCTTTGGGACTCTGTCGCGTCTCCTCCCACCCCCAAGCCATGTCGAAGCGCAGCTCTTGGAGTCTCTACGCAAGGTTCTCCGGGTTGCAGTCAACCTGTCAATTGAGATGCGCACGCAGCTGGCCGAATACATTATGCTGCCGCCACTCCAACCCGAATACGACACAAATGGAGACTTAGCACGGCAGGTCTATTTCAACGCCTCGTTGATGAACGAACGCAGCGGGGAGACAACCTCGAATGAGGAGCTGGAGTCGCAGCAAGCAGTCGTCCGGGTCGTCTTGTTCCCGCTCGTGGTAAAGAAGGGCAACGACACAGGCGAGGGTGAAGATGAAGTAGTTGTCTGCCCTGCTCAGGTGCTTGTCGCTCGACCCGACAAAGATCCAAGGGCCAGCAAAGTCTTCAGCAGCGACCGCATGTCACTGGACGGAACCAAGTCTGTTCACAGCGTCGCTCCATCATCAACCATGGATATTAGCAACGTGATCTGAGGCGTCACACTCCGATCACGACTTGTTGATGCTGAGTTACATGGATTGATGTAAGCTGAAGGCTCTCAGCTAATCTTCAGATTTTCTTTCTGTTCTGGTATGGTAATTGGCAATGATATCCGGAGGCGTCAGGGTCAAAAGAATTGGATCTATACAAGATCCCTTATGAAATGGTAATGGATAATCATGGAGGCTCGAGGTTCCCTTGCGTTCTATTTTACGAATATGCTTACGATGCTACGGCCTCTATCTTCTGGTGTTGTTGATGATGTACATGCTATTCTTGATTTGTTGCTATCTTTTCGGATCTTATTCAAAAGGAGATCTTTGTGTGTATGTATCTTTACATAGACGATCATGATGACTGATGACTATTCATAAAGTTCTTGGATGAATGTGTTGAGATCATTGACGTTCACATATGTCCTTCTTACTTAACTCGCAGATCTTCGGGGGTACACGGGCGACATGCTTCGCAAGAATGAAATGCAAGTTTTAGCTGTAGAATGGAGCTGGTTATCGTTCAGGTGAGCGACATGACTACCAGAGAGATAGCAGACTCTGTACCTAGACTAGGATCGGCAGAAGCTTCACGCAAGGTTGCAAGGCCGCCAATCAAATCGCTCGAATGATCTCATCGTCATCGCCGGCCTGAGGCACTCCGCCATCTCAACCGCCGCCGCCTGCTCTACCTCTCTAATTGCTTTCTTCTCAATCGTCGCCCTCTCTCGTACAGTTGTCGCTTTTTTTGACCCTTGGATTATTTTGCATTACTCTCCTCCTGCCTCAATTTGGGTCCTTAATGGAAAAGACCCTTTAGCTTTGTACCGCTCCATGTTTCACTGCACTGCGCCACAGGCGTCATCCCCTACAGCTTCGGTACAGTGCAACTCTTCTCGTGAATTCTCGTCCAGAGAGCCCCGATGAATTATCAGAAGGCATGTAGGTTGCTGCAACGATAAAACTGCTGCAACTCCGTGGATCTAGCCAGATTTCGGATTCCTTTTTATCCCCGCCATCATTGACCCTTACGCCTGGGATTCCAACCAAGGGTTTTCACGCCGCCATAATATTCAATTGAAAGAGGTCCCTTGACTCACCATGGCTTCCGGCAAGTCTTCGCGAAGCAATGGTCCTCAGACCGACACGGCTGCAGCGACAGGAGCTTATCGTAGCTCTGGGGGCTACGAGACGCCGGCCCCACAGACCCATCACGACACCGCATCGGAGGGTCGACCTGCGACGAACAAGCCGAAGCGGAGGAAGAACCGCCATCGGAAGCGTCGCAATCGCCGGCAGTCCTTCCTTACCGCTGAAGAATCCCATAATGCGGCTGCGGTCTCGGGGGCTGACGCGGAGGCCATGATTGCGGGGGATCAGCCCCATTCTCATCCGGCACTTCCATTCTACAATCTGGGAAGGGATTTGAGCAGTACAAGCTTGGAGAGTGAGGCTCTGCTGGATCATCGGTAAGTTTAGTTTTCATTTGGGGGGAGGGGGGGTGTGGTTAATGGCGTCGTTATCTTTCGCATTGCTGATATGCGCCTTCGTAAATCTATGCAGAAATCAACCGATGATGCGACCCCGGAGAGAAAGCCGGCTGGCACAGTCCTTTCGACCTGGATCTATGACGATTCCATCCCGTTCTACCGACTTAGCTTCTCGCGGTACACCCTCCGGTACCAGGGCCTTTCATGCTGGGGAGGACAGCGATGGATCAGACGGAATAGACGATCATACGCCGTTGATACGACCATCTTCAGGCCACTATAACAACAAACCCTGGTATGGAACAGATGCCAAGGCAAGCCCCTTTGCATCGCGCCAGCGACGTGCCTCTGTGCAGTCAGCTTCCTCCCGGTGTTCTCCTCGCGGTCTCGCGACGTCTGACCCTGATCGAGATTATGACATCAATAACCCTCCTTCCATCCCGAGCTCACCGAAGCTGGGAGGTGAGATGAAATACGATGATGCGGTGGTAACGGGTGCAGACTTTGACTTTGCTCTCGCCAAATCGATTGATAATCGCAATCAGGCGGGCTCCCGGCCCAATGACATAGTAATTGACGTGGACGGTCGTTCCACTCAACAGAAGCCTTCAACTCAGTCCTCGCCGAGTTCACCACACCTTCCGCCTCACGAGGCTCTTCGTCGGCGCCGCACTGTCGCACTACCGGTGGAGGAGGATGTTTGCTTTCCCATCGAAGAGGCCTCGGAGCTCGCCGAGGAGGATGCACGGAGAACATCCCGCGAGGACGGGCGGCGGCGGCGGAGGACTAAGGAATGGCCGGATCTGTCTGTTCTGGAAGAATGGAGTCGGGAGGAGAAGGAGGAACGGACTGGTGTGCTTCGCGCCAAAAAGATCAGCGAGCCCATGCTGATTGAGGGTCGACTGAGACCTCAGTACCGAGTGTGGCGGCGCGAGGAAGATGAGGCGCCGTATCGTTTCACTTATTTCAACGAGGAGTTTCAGAGTACCATTCATGCCCAAAGCATATCCGAGCTGGTGCAGCCTGGTGGCAGTTTCCGGGAGTTATTCATTCCCGATCCCCCGGAACTGGAGGACTCGTCTGATGAGGAAGACTTTGAGGATGAACACATTCACAGTGACCATTTCACCGACTCCAACCACAACGGCCAGGACACCGTCAGGGCGGAAGAACCCAGGGCGGCACAGGCCGGTGGACACAATATGAATGCTGCGAATGGTCCAAAGGTGCAGCATAATATGTCTGTAATCAGCGAAGGTGTGTCCGAAGCACGCACATCAGATGAAGCCTCACCAGCGCGCAAGATCTCACCACCGAAGCCTAAGAGATTTGGGCCTCGTCCGACCTTCTGGCTGGATGTTCTCTCTCCGACAGATGCGGAAATGCGCGTGATTGCCAAGGCATTCGGGATCCACGCCCTGACGGCCGAGGATATCATGATGCAGGAGGCGCGTGAGAAGGTCGAGCTATTTCGAAGCTACTACTTTGTCAACTACCGTACCTTTGAGCAGGATCCCAACAGCGAGAATTACTTGCAACCTGTGAACATGTACATCGTTGTGTTCCGGGAGGGGATCTTGAGCTTCCATTTCTCGCAGACGCCGCACCCGGCGAACGTGCGACGGCGCATCCGCCAGTTGATGGATTATTTGATCCTCAGCTCCGACTGGATCTCGTATGCGCTGATTGATGACATCACGGATGTTTTTGGTCCGCTGATCCAGTCTATTGAGGACGAAGTGGACGAGATCGATGAGAAGATTATGAAGATGCACTCCCCTGGGCGCATTGATTCCAGCGATAACCCTGCCAACCGCCGAGAGGATGAGGACGATGAGCCGGAACCACCGGCTCCCGGCGAGATGCTGCGACGCGTGGGAGAATGCCGTAAGAAAGTCATGGGGATGTACCGATTGCTGAGCAACAAGGCAGACGTTGTGAAGGGGTTCGCTAAGCGATGCAATGAGCATTGGGAAGTGGCGCCGAAATCCGAGATTGGGCTGTATTTGGGAGATATCCAAGATCACATTATGACTATGACCAGCAGTCTGACCTACTACGAGACGTGAGTCCTTCCCCAGCGAGTGCATTACATCCGGAAATGGAGCCAGCTAACCATTCCCACAGGCTACTGTCACGAGCGCATTCGAACTATCTAGCCCAAATCAACATCTTGATGAATGAACGACAAGAGCAGACCGCAGATGTCCTTGGGAAGCTTACCGTGCTCGGAACGATCGTGCTTCCCATGAACATCATCTGCGGTATGTGGGGGATGAACGTCAAGGTTCCCGGTCAAGACATAGATAATCTGTGGTGGTTTTGGTCAAGTAAGAACTCCCTTGCATCATGCTCTCTTTTCCGGGGATTCTACTATGAGATGATCATGTGAACTGACATTGCCTTGAATAGTTACTGGAGGCCTGATCTTCTTCGCTTTTGCTTCCTTCCTGATTGCAAAGCGAGTCTACAAGATCGTCTAGGTGGCGATGTTATGACGGGCTCGGCGCAGAGCTATGACAATGAAACATGATAACATGATAACATGATACCCTGAGTGTGTATATTGTTCTCTGAAGAGATATTCTGGTATTTATGACGGATTGCACATGTCACTGTTGGATAGATGGGTGATTGATTTTGGTGTTGATGTGTACTCTGTATAGAAGGGCTCTCCGTTGTCTGTTTGGCTGCATGTTTCCATGTTCGGAAAAATGATTGCTTCATTATCCAGCTACCTGTTTCATATAGGACTCTCTAGTCAAACAGAAGGTTGTATACAGATCAAAACAATAATATTGCTGCCTACCTGCCCGGCCAGATTGGAATCTGTTTCATCAATATGGTCATTGTCCCATGCTGCCAACAACATCCTCTGCAGATCGTAATATTGCTTGATTGGTCAGAGTCTGGATCACGAGCACCAGCAAGTCTGCTATAAGCAATTTTCACTGCTTTGAGTGGTATCAATCCATCGACGTTTCCCGGATCTTTTTTCCATCTTTCTTCTTTGTGTCTTGGGCAGGTAAGGTTCTGGAAAACTGGGCAGTCAGAGGGAGGAGATGAGGTCATGATGACTGGCTGTAACAAGGTAATAAAAATACCATTGCTTTGCCATCATTCTCCCGAGTTCCTCGCGTAATCTTACATAATCGTGTCACATCACTGTAACAGACCCCAGGGGCTGGACCGTCTCTCCCCCCTCCACTGACCGCGTTGTTTCACTATGGGATGTTGTGGGTGTCTCTCTCTCTCTTCGTTCTCGTACCTTTCTGTCCGTCGTAGTCATCTGTTGGAGGCTTCGTCTTCATCGTCTTCATTGCCTTTTTCATATCCGAACCGTTCCTCCCTCTATCTCAACAGTCTGCCCCTTTCCAGATCTCTTCAAACCACTCCGTACGCTCTCCTTGTCTCACCCCATTCCGATCGGTGACGAGAGACGGGACCTCCGGCCTTTCCCTCGCTACCTACCTAAGCCTACCTACGTACCTACCTTACACACTAGACTCCCTTCAGCCGATGTTCCTTGACGTGGGCGGCTACCATTGGATCTCGTTTCTTCCCTCCCCTGACTGGACGATCGTGGACGGGTGCGCTACCGGCTTTTATCTTCACTTCTATTGATCGAATTTCAACGTCCGCCGTTTGCCTCTTTCCCTTTCTTTCAACCTAGCTCGCTTTTCCACACCGGATTAGAGTATTGCCACTGCGAAGACTAGATTCCTTGCGTTCCCTCTGCACTTGTTCACCTGCTACTGGCGAGATCAGTCCACCAGCACTCAACAACCGACTTAGGATCCTTGGCTGCACTGCACCAAACCGTTATGACAACTCGTGGTGGGCTTCTAATCAACACCGCCATCGCCTAAACAAGCACAGAGCTTGTTCTAGACGTTCTACCCAACCTGTCTTCTGATCAAGTTATGTGCCTACGACTTGCTCCGTACAATCATTCGTCTACCTGAACGGCCGGGTTTATCGCATGCAGTAACTATTTTGACCTCTCTGCGTTCACTCCTCTTCTTGGTACATTCTCCGTCAGCATGTGGTCTTCGTCTATTCGTCTTTTGATTTCGTCTACCGTGTAACGTGTCTTTTTTTTTTCTTCTGTACGACAGGCGATCACAATTATTCGATCCCATTCACTTTCCCGACTGTCCGAACCCCAGCTGCGTCTATCCGCTTGGTCAACATTACTTGGATTTTCGTTCGGACATCCCACGCCTTTTTTTCCCCTTTTCTTTTTTAACCTTGTTTTTTTTTTTTTCTGCTCGCCCCTGGCTTAGTGGTACCCTCTCGGATCTCCTGACTTGTCAATACCGCGTCAGCAAGTTTCTGACTTGACAGAGACCATGGCAGCGGAATCCGAGAGGTCCCCCTACCCCAATGGTTCCTCAGATGAACCTAGCGTGGCCCAAGACGATGATGAGGCTGCTTCATTTACATCCCGGCGGTCTGCGAGTGAAAGCGACATGGTAGAACTGCCACGTTCCGCATTTCAATCTCAAACACAGGCATCCGCTCTGGCCCAGCTACCAAAACTATCCTCCGCAGTTCCCGGCATTTCGGCCCCTCCCTCTACCACGAATTCCGCCCGATCCTCGCGCGAATCCTCCCCTGTTCGTTCCTCCCGTCGTGCACGCAACCCGACGTCGGCGCCTCGCAGTTCCAGATCACGCCGGAACAGTCAAGATCGCAGTCCGCAACGGTCCATACCAGTTCCTACCGCGAGTGCTGTGCAAAGAGCGCTCTCCCAGCCCAGCAAGCCTCTTGTGCTGAGCGCGTCCCCGAATGTCGAACCATCCTCCAATGTTCCCAGCCCAGAAAAATCTACCAACATGCCGTTATGGGGCTCTACCCCTCCGAATACCTCGAGCAAGCGGTCCTTGCCGCCGTCCGACGACCTTGCCGCTAGAGGAGATCGGAGTGCACCTCGCAACGTGAGCAGCCGCATCAGTGCGCCGGGTTCTGCCCTTGAAACCGTGGAGGAGATGACCAGCGATCCCTCGACACCGTCGGCCGATACCATCCTGAACCAGCCTCTGTCGGAGGAGCCGAAGCTGCAAAAGATCGATGAAGACACAACACCAAAGGCGTCTAGACATAATAACAATGTCGAGAGTGGAAGTGACAGTGGCGGAAACAAAAGTTCAGAGCGCATGGAAGACACTCGTCGTTGGGTATCCACGGGTACCAGAGGGTCCGATTCCCTCATGCCGAAGCGCTCCACTACCTCATTGAGCGGCGCTCGCGGGAAACCGGCAGAAGGGTCCGTCCGCAACATGATTGTCGAGACGGAGACGGTGACCTCGATTCCTCAGGTCTCTCTTGGCGTGGTACCGGGCGAACGAGGCAATTCAGGCCGGGTAGACAGCGGCACTTTACGGATGAAGCCGAGTACGGAGACCATTCGTCCCAGAAAGGAAAAACGGAAAACTCGCAAACCTGCTGCCCTCTCCAGCGGCGCGGCATCTTCCAAAGCTGATATCTTTGAAGCGAAAGTGGCCAGCGCCGTCGATGAGGCCGACGTCTCCGACTCTGATGAGACGTTTGTCTATGAGTCTAATCCCCCAGACCCATATCCGGTCCGGCAGAACCGGTATCATTCCCGCACGCCCAGTGCAACGTCTATGGCAAGCCAAGTCGACCAGCTGGCAGGTCGGGCGCGACATAGCATGAGAGACTCAACGCACAGCGTTACCGGCAAACGCAGCATGAAATTCACAAATAATACATACAACAGCAGTGTGGATGGGGATGCTGGTGAGGAAAGCGGCCGTCCTCTTTCCAGGGTGGATGGTAGCGGCACGCACACTCCCCGGCACCACCATATCGGGCGGTATGGACGCAACAGCAACGTATATCCGTCACTGTTTGACAATGACTCGCCGTTCCCGCAGTCCCAGGGACATGCCAAGTCGCCCCGGCATTTCATTGGCAGTGGACTTCGACAGTCAAGGCATGCGAACTCGCGTACACTTCCGAATTATCGCACAATCAACGGGTCAAAGAAGTCGGGCGATATGTATCCTTACGATTTTGATGCAGAAGGTGCGGATGATGAGCGCACGCCTCTGGTCGGGTCGACACGTGTGTCACGAAGCCGGCATGGCGGTCGACGCCCCGGCAGTGCCAGTTTGCGTCAAATGGAGTATATGCAACAACGGCAACGCAGCTATTTTTCACGCTACGGTATCTGTCTCATCATTGGCCTCTTGCTACTTTTGGTCATTGGAGGCGCCACCTCGTTCATTATCGGGATTACAAAGCCGCTGGTGGACGTGCAAGTCCATGCCATCCAGAACGTGCTCGCTTCGGAGCAGGAGATTATGTTAGACCTCAGCGTGCAGGCCGTGAATCCCAATCTTTTCCCCGTGGCTGTCGATGATATGGACGTGAACATCTTTGCCAAAAGTCGATTTGTGGGAACAGACAAGCTCTGGCGCGATCACAGCCCAGATCTGGATGGGTTTCCCCGCGTCGAACAAAGCAGGAAACGTGCAGAAATGGCTCGACTTGCGCGCTGTGGCAGGGAAACCGAATGCACGCCTGATGTTCTTGCCAGAGAGTCCCTCAATATCACTGGAGGCGTCGACAAGGGCACTGATCCTATACCGACCGACCCTGCTGGTGATCCTCAGACCATGCTGCTAGGCCGTGTTTTCCACTTTGATTCGCCCCTCGCGTTCGAACCGTCTCCCTGGAACCACGTACCCACCACATCCAAAGGCCAGATCCGCCTCGCTCGACCTGGCAACAAAACTGAAGAAGGCGGCACGGAGCGGTGGGAGCGGGTGCTTCAGCATCCTTTTGAGCTGATTGTTCGCGGAGTCATCAAGTATCAGCTACCCTTGAGCTCTAGGTATTACTCATCGCCTGTGAGCTCTAGCGTAAAGGTGGTACCCAATGATGACAACGATGATACGCCCGACCCTGGTTCCGGAAAGAATGACACGGTTTCAATATCCGCATCAAGGTTATACCGTCGCGGCTTGAAATCCTCAGACGGTCGATCCTCGGGAGGTGTCAGAAAGACACTTGAACTAGTGGCGCGAGCCTTCACAGCCTGATAATAGTTCCGAGTCGGACGGATGCCCGTCCTCGATAATTGCCCACAAATCCGTTTCATTCTTCTCTACAATCCCGTTGGTATGAGCTCTGGATAGTTGTCCTCGGCCTATCTTCAATTGTATAAACCCTGAATTTGGACCAGGAAACGGCCACTGACGTGCCACTGGCTGTGCAAGACGTACGCCTTTTTTTTTATCTTCTCCATGGATGGTGATATCTCTCTTTCCTCATTTGGATCTCCCCCGTGAATCAGGGACCGGCGGTCCTGACCGGCAGTCCGGACTTTGGATCCGTTTGATGTCACTCCTTTTGAGATATAACCTTTCCTTTCCTTTGTTGAATGATTTCCCTCATCCTCATTCTGATCTGACAGGACTGTTTCTTGGTCTGTTGGTTCAGCTTCACGTGTGATGACTTTGATATATTCACCTCATGAAACGACAGCAATACGGAAAAGAGCAAAGGAGCATGGATTTTAATTTTTTATTCTTTTCCCCCTTCATATTGTCTTTATTTTCGATTGTGAGAACAGAAACATCGAATATGGGATGCATCAGCGCGGCGCTTTGATATGACTTTTGGCTTATTCCTCGGCACATTGCGTCCAGCAGGGAGATCGTTTGAATAGAAAAAAGATAGGTTTAAAAACTTGGTCGGTGGATTGTCATTTTCTTTCTTTTCCTCCTTTTTCCCTCGCTCTTGGAAGCGCCCATGTCCATGTGTGTATGTGTATGTACATAATCCTTATCAAGATCAGCTCGGTACATATATCTCTAGGTTTATTTTGAGGATATGGTTTGGTTTGGCATTCTATGTAAATCGCATCATAACATCTAGCATAGACAGGGTCATTAGGGCATCAATATCGTATCAGGTCATAACATGGCAAAAACCGGCAGGTATTGAAAGTCACAGCAGAAACAAACCAGAAAGCCACCCAACAGTAAAACAGAAACTGGAAAGCATAAAGAAAGGGAACAAGAAAAAAGCGAGAACGAGAGATACACAACCCCTAGACAAACACGCGATTGATCCCACGAAGCAATTTCTCGAGCCCATCTACCAGCGGGTCATCGTCGCGCTCTGGAAGCAGTCGGCCGTGCGAGTCGAACCGGTCAGGCAGGTCGATGGTGGAGTCGGAATCCGGCTCCTGCAGATCGGTAGCATCCTTGTCTTTGAGGTGACTGGGACGATCGCCCTTGGCTGGGGACGCGCTGGGTTGAAATTGGGGTTTGCGGGGGTAAAGTAGGGATCGGAGGAAGAATGGCGGCGCCGGTGGGCAGAGGAGGCGTCGGAGGAACGATGACGATCGCGATGATGATGAGGAGTCAAAGAGTCGATGGTTGTGTCGCTATCGTCCGTTTCATAACCAGGGTCGATAGGGCGCTCCTCCGCGTTGAGGTCAAAGGCAACAGACTTGGGCTGCGGGGGTTGACTGGCTGCGCGTGTGCGATCTCTGGGGGTAAGCGGACGCGGTGTTCTCAGCGGTGACGGAGGTGTATCTACACCTGAGAGGTTCTGATTAGCGACAAGTTTCTTGAATGTCAGAGATTTAATTTATCCCTAGACCCACCATCATGCATGGGATACTGGGCAGCAGAAGGGGGAGAGTTCCATGCAGCACTCACATTCTCATCCGCCCTCCGGGGCCGGGGTGCGTACCGATCCGGTCCTGGCTCGGGGGATAACCGTAAGATTGCGCTGGAGGGACTGCACCTGGTGGAGGAGGGTAATCGGCCGGATTATATGGCGCGGCGGGAGCGGGGGAGCCGGTGTAGAGCCAGGAGGTGGAGGGAAGTAGTTGGAGTTGGGATAGTAAGGATTCTCTACAGGCTGTGTCGGTGGCACTGGCGACGGCGGATATGGAAGGTCTGAAGGGTACGAGTCATCGTCGTACTCTAGAAGGACGGTCATTAGTCTCCCGAATCAGCAGATCGTTCGTGTATTTATTGAGCTAAAACTTACTTGACCGTTCTCTCTCCTCCCTCTTGCGATCCCTGCTCTGCTTGTACTTGTGAGCGGCATAGCCGACTCCAGTGGCAGCCAAAGCGGCTTCGGCCAATTCACGGGAACGGCTTCGGTGCTTGGGACGCCGGCTGCTTCTTCGTCGTTGGTGGCCGTCTCTGTCGGCATCAGAGGAGCTGGTGCTATACCTACCGCCTCGGCTGCGACTGCGGCTACGACTGCGACCACGGAATCCTGCTGCGTCCCGAGCTACTCGGTCAGAAGCATCCGAGTAGTAACCCTGTTGACTGGCAGGCCGGCCATAGTAATGGGCTGCAGGGATGCTTCCGGTAACCGGATGTTGGCCGTACTCGATCAGACCAGCCGAATCGCGGGCGGGATCTGGGTAGGCCTCGGACGGGGCCCTGCTTCGAGATCTGGAACGACGTCGCTCCCTCCGCTTTCCGTCCTCTTCCTTCTTCTCCTTGTTCTTTTCGTACAGGCCAGTGACGGCTGCGGTTCCCAGCCCGGCCGCAACGACAGGGAGCGCCTGTCTGAGTCGGCTGTGAGAACGGGACCCCTTTCGAGAGCGCGACCGGCTGCGAGCTCTCTCTACCAGACCGGCCACTGCGGCACCAGCCAAGCCGGCTTCGGCCATATGTTTCCGAATCCGGGATTGGCTGCGTTTCTCACTCTCGGCATCTTTTCCGGGTCGAATGGCACTGGAGGACCGCCGGTGCCGGGAGCGGCTACGTTTGTCGCTAGTTGACTTCTTACGAGCCAGAGCCATGGCACCGGCAATGGCAGCGGCACCAAGGCCAATTTCCGTCAACGTCTTGGCACGAGAATGAGAGTGCGAGCGGCTGCGACTGCGGCTGCGACGGCTGTGGCGGCTATGGCTATGGCTATGGCTGTGGTGATGATGGTGATGGTGACGGGAGCTGCGATCATCATCATATGAGTGGGAGCGGTGACGGCTCTTGCTGCGGTAGTAATCGCGAGCACGCGAAGCAGCACTCACGGCAACAGCGCCCAAGGCGCCGGCGCCTACGTCGTGACCGAGACGGCTGAGGCCCGAAGACACCTCGTCACCTTCCTTCTTTCGATGATTGCGAATCAGTTCTGCTGCGCCGATACCAACCAACGCACCCTCCGCGAGATGGCGTCGATGATGAGGGTGGTCGTCGTATTCGCGGGTCTCTTTGCGGATATAGACCATGCTATCATCACTGCTGTAGTCTTGGTCGTCCCGACGACGACTGGTCTGAGAGATGGAGTCGCCTGGGCTGAGCTCGCGGCGAAGGCGACGGTCGTCGTCATATTCGCGGACCCGGCGATGATAGTAGTAAGCCGGCTCCCGTTCTACCTCGGACCGGTGGACAACCTCGTAGTCAGATTCACGGGGATGAACAATGAGGGGCCCTCGCCCTGCTTAATTACGGTCAGATTTACTCGGCCTAAATTCGTACATTGGTACTCACCATCATAGTAGTCTCTTTCGGAGCGGTAGTCGTACGGGCGCGTGTCATAGTCGATCTCTCGCTCGTAACGTTGCACCATGACGGGTTCTTCTCGCTCAGTAGAGCGGCGGATTACCAATTCTCGATCACCAGTGACTGGGTCTTCGCGGCGGTAGACAATTTCACGCTCTCGATCCTCCTCTGAAGGTATGACGTAACGCTTGATTGATACGGTGGAGGAACGAGGCTCGTCCCACTCACGATCTCGCTCGCGTTCTCTGTAAATGTAAGATGACATGAGGATGAAATTCGTTCACAGCGACAAGGTAAATAGAAGTAAGAGTCGAACGGGTAGATAATTAGAGGGGAGAGAGAAAAATGGGTCAATCGAACGGGACGAAAAGAGAAATAGAAGTGCCTGGAAGATGGAGGGGGGCGAGGAAAGGGAAGTGGGGAAGATCGGTGCTGACGAAAGTGATGATCAATCAGGCTGAGGGACAAGGCTGGTGGAAGACCCGGGCCGTTGGGCGTCGAGTCAAGTGCCAGTGAGTCAAGGGGCGCAAAGATAAGGTATGACGGGATATTCGATGATGAAAAGAAGAAAGATTCAATGTATGATGATAGCGGGGAATGAGGGATGGTAAGTGTCAGTATGGGTAAGGTAGCTACAAAGAGGGGTTTCTTGACAGGGATGACTGAAAGAAGCGGGGGCTGATGCACAACGAGAATTGAGAGAAGATGGCAAATAAAGATAAGTGAGACGAGGAGGCGATGTGAACATGCAGGTGGTAAAGTTGATGAAAAGGATGATATGATGATGATATTGAATGGAAGAGTGGGGGAAGGGAAAATAGATGGATCCAACTGCGATCAGAGGTACATACAGTAGTGTCTAGTACCTACCTTAGTAGTGCTGCAACTTGTCTGCAAGTGATGAGGTCCCAAGACGAGACACACTGATGTGACTCGCTGACTGACACGCCCAGTCGATCTCACGTTGTCAATCCTGAGAATCAACTTTTATCAACAATCAAAAGAACAGTAAGTGTCAATAGAACAATAGATAGTATGCGATAGCAGTCTGAAGTCTTCCTTAGATCGGCTCAGTAGTATTTATATTGTGTCCTGAAGATGGAGAGGTCCCACTAATCATGACTTCATCATTGACAAAGATAGTGGCTGAGGATTGCGCCCGAGAGATCCGCCTTCTCCTTAGCCATTAGCATCCATTAACTTGGATGTCAAGGCTCGTATGGGGCACTGATCAATGATGATCACCAGGTGTCTTTAAGCCTCATTCATCGTGTTTCATTCATGATGTTTCGATACGTTGAGTGTCTGGGACCGGTGGAGTAGAAATCTCGGATTTGATCCATGGGTGCCCTACTGCGCCGGAGATGGTACCTGACCCTGCCTGAGGTTACCACAGCTTCCTTGCCAGCAAACCATGGATCTTGATGTACACAGTGCTCAGAAATGACCGTATTTCCAATCCCTCAAGGTGAACTGGAAGTTTCACAATTTCTCTGAAAACGATCCGCAGCAGGCAATATTGATTGAACATGACTGTCGAGTCTGTCCCTGCCTCATGGTGGTCGCTGTCTTCTCCTTCTCTGTCATCCATCCCATCTAACTATCCTTTTGTCATCTTCACTATCTTCCTTAACCCCTACTGATTGACTCTTTCATCAGTTTATCATCCAATAACCAAACTGTCAATCACAGTCGTCAATGCGACTATGATCTTTATGGCGTTTCTCAGTCGATTAGCAATGATTCGCCGACCACGCTGTCACTTGTTCTGCCCCTCATTTGCTTTTAACAGTGTAGAAGTTGACGACCATCAATCCCGTTCAGAACTTGCAGGTCTCTGACTATTGGTCGAGAAGCATGCCTTTACCACCAGCCCTAGGGTGGAAATATTTTTGTCTCATATTTAAGCCTGAAACAAATCTCAAGTAAATGTATCGGTGAGTCTACATTCTACAGAGTACTCCGGACATCTACCCCTCTCCTCGGGATTATATATCGACCTCTTCCGTCATTGCTTTTTCTTTCCTTCAAGGCTTTCGGCTCCCTCCCCAACAATGCATTTTGTAATAGTCAAATGAACAATATTGTCGTAGTCTACCAGTCACACTCAGACTTGGTTCTCTAGGCTTAATACAGGTTCACCCGCTAGGATCTTGTTCCACTCCTGTAGAACCACATCGCTTTCAGTATAATATTTAGTCAAATATACTGTATAAGGAAGCCTTACCTTAAATCTACCACATACGACCATAGGGTGTGGAAAACAGGGCTTCCCGTCCGCTCAGCCGTACTTAAGCCACACGCCGGCCGGTTAGTAGTTGGGTGGGTGACCACCAGCGAATCCCGGCTGTTGTATGTTTTTTTGCTCTTTTTATTTTTGTTTTGTTCTTAATCTGCCAGGATCAGTGCCCTTCCCTCTCTACATTCAGCCACTCTTCACCTGACATTACTCTCCCAGAATATGCCTGAAGGCCATCTAAAATCAGGACATAGGTCACCAGGACTATGACTAACTGGGTAAAGTTCACCAGGCCACACTAAACTATTTTAGGACATCATATGATTTCAGTAGGACCAGGGAATATAAGACTAACTACTCCATACTCTGTTCATCTTTTATCTTTAATACTAAAGTAGCTGTACCTACTAGTAGCCAATGATCTGCAAATTCTGACTCTACCACTTCCTTATGGTGCAGCCAGGTAAAATCACATTAGTGCCCAAGAGCAGAGCAGAGCGGCTCCTCCCTCCTTGGGGATGATCTACTCTCTCTATCTAAGCATCACCAACATTTGTGGCCTTTTCCCACTGTCCCTAGGCGTTTGAGGTTCTTTCCCCTCTACATTATGAAGGCCTTATATATCTAAAGAATTCTTCTCTTAGGAAGCTAGATAGCCAAATCCAAGTCATCAAATTACCCTGATTAAGGTGCTCTAACATTTCATCATTAAGAGAAAGCTGCAAAGGTCAATGTCAACAACTATAGGAAGCAGCAGTAATCAACAGGGTAAGTAAATTTATAGTAATATTATCAGTATACCCAGCTATTTAGTGGAAGGCTATAAGTAGCTCTCACAGGTAATGCACCTATGCCCTGATATAGCTTTGTAGTCTACGTAAGGTGTATAATAATTCAGGTGTTACACCCCAGAGTCCAGCAGGCACCAGATTCTAAGAGAAACATAATTATTAAGAAGATTAAGCACAATACACCTGCAGGTGTATAACACACTTACTTCTCCCTTAGTTAAATTAGCGCAGATTCATTTAGGTTCTGTGTAAGTAAATAAATATAGGATCAGAAATTACTAAGGGAGCTCAAATTAGCTTTTCCCTTGGTGTAAGGAAGTAGCATTCTAGGCAGCTACTAACCAAAACACCAAAAGGTTCCAATGATGATTCCAAGGGGAATCATCAAGCCTAGAACATGCTTATATACCACCAACCCCCTAGGCTGTCTGCCCCATGACACCCTTCCACAAAGAACAGAAGATCCGTGGTTCGTGATTCATCTTCCTTCCATACAACATCAATCGTCATTCTTGCCTCTCACACAGTCTTCCATCCCCCATCATCATCTCTTGTCCCCGCTCACATCGTTTTCGCGAACCCTCGCGCTATCATGGAACTCAAGTATTTCCCTAAAAGTGTATGGGTTGGGAAGCGCATTGACTTTCCAGACGCTGGTTCCCTCGTGGACACTAAGGGAAAAACTAACGGAACACTCCTACCGTCTTTCCAAGAAAGACGCCGATGAATACGAAACTACCCCGAGTGCTAGTGCGACCTTTAAATGCCAGAATCTTGAGAACCCTGCCCAGGAGGCCCTTATGAAGATCCATATCCAAGTCCCTTATAGTGGCACAGAGTTCCGCCCCTCAAGTGTTTGCGGCACTCAAGCATCTGCTAACATCCCAGAAGACTTAGAGGAATATATCGAGGCTCTTTGGCGCCTTCGTGACTGCAAGTTCACACCTAATCTTCTAGAGCATAAAGTGGATGTCCAAGATGAGGACGGACTTGTTCCACACGGCTGGAGCATCTATTTGCTCGCCACGGCCGTCCCTGGAATTCCACTTGCTATAGAGGGCTCCCGGTACGAATATGAAAACCAACTCACGTTCCTCATTCCAGACGGGGAGTTTTGGAAGAACCTGGATAGACCCACCCGAGATGAGATTAGAACTCAATTTGAAGCTGCCTACAAGTATTTCCGCACTAATCCACTGAAGCCAAGACTAATTCCTTCAAACAGCGACATCACTGCAAAGGGGGTCCTATGTGGCTTAGCAACGTTACGAGACATCTACTGGGATTCGAGTACCAACACATTGTATATTTGCTGCTTTCTACGATTGTTTAGGATCATCACTAATTCATCTCTCATACAGGACGATCAACACCCAATTCAAGCCTTTCGGTGACAAGTACGTCACTAAAAGCCCTACTCCTTGGAGTACCCCAATACTTCGGCGTCTATGGTTCGGCGCTGAGACCGCAAAGTCTTCGTTTCCCATACGATCCGACAATGACTGTTCCACAACTGGAAAAGATCGGGTGGAGGTTTTAGCTATCAAAATGCAATAGAGGACAGCGTGGATTACATTCATTTTGCTGATGTTTCCTCTATTAGCAGTCTCCCGGTGCATGATGTGCAGGTGTAGCTTAGTTAGTACTTGCAGTCCCACTGTGTATTATTACTGATTGCTATGGCTCCTATTGACAGAGTCACTATCATATGTAAATATGGTTAAACGCACCTGAACGCCCGGCCTGGACTAGACTACTAGTTTTTTGAAGTATTATTTGACTGTGGAGATGCAGGCCGTTGGCAGCAGGCAGCAGACAGCCGCTCCTTGGCTCATGGTGGAAATACTGTGGGTTGCAAGAGTAGCTGCCTATCATTCACCAGACCATCGGGATGAAGCTCATCACCAAGGTCCAAGTCATTTTCCGTGTGCCTAAGCGCTCAGGGCCACCGACGGAATGGACGGCTAGTGGGTTCACAGTGCCTGGATACATAGAGGACGAAGCCCCTGGCGCCATTCAGATCGCCCTTTACGGTCCACGTCTCGGGAAACTCTTGAACACCGACCAGGACAATGTCAGCGTCCAACATCCCGGGACCCTCAGGTTCGAGATCAATCAGGCGCCGATCAAAAGGTCCATCAACGCACTCGCAAAGCTCAAGGCTAACGAGAATGAAGTTGCGGGAGGGTTCCCGCCTTTGCTCAACCATGAGCCCAGTGCCTTGCCCGACGTCGACCTTCTCCGCGAGACAGATCCAAACATCATCCAATCTGCGTTACAGTTAAGCTAAAGCAGTGGAATGCCGAGCAGGTCAACGTGTTTCGGTATCTGCGTAAGACAAAGGCGGGTTGCTCAATCGTAGAGGGGTTTCCAGGATGTGGCAAGACCACAGTCCTCGCCGCCATTGCCATCTTCTTCCGTCTTTGTGGGTTTGACATACTCCTAGTTGGACCGAGCAACGCAGCCGTGGATGCTCTAACTAGAGAGTTCAAGCAACTGGGACCTAATCTAGACTATGTCCGTGTGCGCCGCGGCGAAGTCGAGAAACGTTCCAGATTGACCGCTAACCCCGGAGAAACTGATGATGGTGATGAGGAACGCGCAGAGGTTGAAAGACACTCGGCTTTGATGGGTCTGCTCATGACTCTGAAGCAATCTCGCTCTCAGAAAGTGGAAGGAAATCTGGAGCAGAGCGTGTTATCTTACGTTCAGCGTAAATGTAACACTGCACTTGCTGCTGGAGAGGAGTTTCTGGTAAATGTCGCTAAGTCTGTCCCAAAGAATCAGACAACCACTCCTGAAGGCGCCGAACCTGTCTCGACGGATGACTTGCAAAATGCCTATCGCATGGTTCAAGAGTACCTCAGCCAGCCGAAGGTCCCCCGGCCCAAGGAAGCGTCCGACAATGATCTTGAGCAATGGTCCAAGAGAGAAACTGCATTCAAGAAATCATATGACGCGGTTTCTGAACTCATAGTTCAAGAGGCTCATGTGTTTGCTTGCACGAACAATCCAGAGGGGACTGATCTTGTCAGACGAAACTTTGGTGCCAATGGGAAAGGGATCATCATTATCGCAGATGAGGATGGCCAACCCACAGAACCCGACGCCATTATCCCCCTAGTCTCTCTCGATAATGCACGCAAGGTCGTCGGAATGATTCGAGGAGGAGATCGGCATCAGCTCCCACCATTAGTCATAACATCGACTGAATCTCCTGGGTACAATGAGTTCGGCGCTCAGATCGGGAAATCACTTTTCAATACACTCCGTTGCGCCAGATTTCCAGTGGTCATTGTGTCTCAACAACATCCCATGCATCGTCGTCTTTCTAAATTCCCTTCCGACTTCACATACGAAGGGAAAATGACAAACGATCCATCTATGAAATCAATTACACTGAGTCCAGTGTTTTCTCAGAAACTTCTCGAATGGCTCAAGCTCAAAGCCGACGATGTCGAATTCAGGAATGGGATGGAGCTTATCGGGCTTGACGTGAGCGATGGGAAGGTGGTGATCAACCCTACGACATATTCAAGATCCAATGCCCGCAACGTTGCAGTAGTGATGGATCTCATTGAGAATCTCATTACTGCAAACGCACTCAATGGTTTGTCTTGCTGCATCCTTCCCACCTATGACGATCAGAAAAAGGCGTACATCGATGCAATGCTCAACCTTTCGCGCAAACTCGACATTGCTTGGGAGGACATGGTTTCTGTGTTTACGGTGGAATGCAGGGTAACCAAGCCGATATCGTCATCGTCGACTGGGTCGTTACCTCTGGAGAACCGCGTGACTTGGGCTTCTCCTCTGATAATCGCCGCGCAAATGTCGCTCTGACCAGCGCACGTGCATGTCTCATTGTTGTTGCCAACGGTGCAATCATCAACAACAACCGACTGGACGGGGATGAGAGCAAGGAGAAGGTGCCTCCAGAACTCTTGGTCCATTGGAAGCACTTGCTGGACAATGATCTCATTGTGCCATGCTCTGTTGCTCAGCCTAACACCCCTACAGATGACACTGCAGTCGCTTATGTCGATGGCGGCGCTTCTGCTGAGTGGTAGGCAACCAATTACTTCATGATGACCGGAGAAGGACAAGGGAAGAGCAAAAAAAGTTTAAATCTTCAAAAAGACGTGTATCGAACATCTTAGGTCCCACATATCCAGGCCTCTGTTTTGTTGAATATTTATTAGTACTCCGTACCTTCCTAACTTCTCTTTCCTACCATCATAAAACACCTCTGTCCTGGTGTCCTGAATCCCCGTTCGTCACTACCTCTTGCTTTCTACTCCCGCTTCCTCATCCAGAAAGATCACCTTCCATTTTCGCGCTTTTTCGCACCCTTCTTTATTGTCATCTTTGGACGCTTCCCCCCATTTGAAATCCTTCATGGACCACTTCGACATGGCACCGGCTGTCTCTCATACACAGATTGTCTGTAGCTCCAAGGCCTCGAACGCAATCACCGTGAATTCGCCAGCAGACGCTCGAGCTCAGCTAGAATTATTTCTGTGCAGCGATCCCGAAACGAACTTGCTACTGAAGCTTTCGTGGGCCAACCTCAACAGCCAACCAGTTCGTCAAATATTGAGGGCCGTGAGGCGAAAGTATCGAGTCGAATATGACCCGGACTATGAGGTGCTGAAGGTTAAAGCAATGCCCTCTCCGCTCCATAACGCTCTGAGCGAATGTATGGCGCTATCTTTGGCGAAGGCCAATGTTACTGTCCTAACCCCCGACGAGATCATGCGCATTCTGATACTCGCTAAAAACCGTCATCTATCTCGATCACCTACACTCAGCCCTGGGAAGAAGCCTGTAGCTTGGATAAAGGAACCTGACTTCACCATCTGCTTCAAAGAACTTGGACATAAGGCTGTAATACGAGTTGTCTTTGAGATTGGGTTCACAGAATCCTACTCCGACTTGTTACGTGACGCCTCCCAGTGGCTATTGCGGTCTGGCGGTGAGGTGAAGCTGGCGATTATCATCAAAATAGATGAGGACAAACGTCAGCTCCACTGTCGTCAGAGAACGGAAGAGTTTACCTCCGGTCTCAGTGACCTTATCAGCAAATACGGAGACGCGGAGTCTAGACACTGTCATAACATCGAAGCAAAAGGTCCTGTTCTTGAGTCGTCGTATCATTTATATGAGGCGATACAATCGGAAATCACTGCGTCTGATTGGGTGGGCCAGATCTCTGCATACCTGGAGATGTGGGAGATGAACGGAGGAAGACCTGCTTTGAGAGGATCACGAATTGTGAGTCTTACATGGATGAATGAAGAATAGAACTGATTTGGTCTTTAGGATATCCTTCCAACCCCCAGCAATCCCCGAGACCCAGAAATCAGAATCACGGACCTGATACCAGAAGATCGCAGAACGCTGTTTACAGATCCTGATGAATCAAAGACAATCAAACTGGACATGAGTTTCTATCGCGAAGCTTTGAACCTAGCTATGCCCGATACTGCGTTTACCAGAGCTGTTAAAGTTATCCGGCCACTTGATAAAGGACGAGAAGGAGCCTGATTATGAGTGACTACTTCATCCCTTACACTTACCTGTGATGATAATGGACTTTTGTGTGTTTCTGAGGGCTATGCCAGAGGATAAGGAAATGGAGGATCTGAGGCCGTATCATTAAGAGAGACAATGTACTAGCTCAGACAGTTTAACACCAAGAATTGATCATTCTTTGCTTTCATTTTAGGAACTATAACTTCTCGGCTCTGGAGATGCATACATAAGCCTTGGGAAAGGGGTTACTGAAGACGCTTGATATGCTCAAGCTTAGAGCCCCAGTTTCCCGGAGGGTGCGCATCTAGTACAAAGGCTTTAAAGAATGTTTGGATTGAGGCAGCTCATATAGTAGATGTATTTCAGTTGTGAGGTAGAGAGTATAGATAAAGTGCGGAGGTTGAACGAGTGATAGAGAAAGTCCAGACTCCCATTACCCAAGTCGGGCGAGTTCAGAGCGGCATTGCTCTCAACAACCAAAAAAGCATAGTTCACTATATACACTAAATCCATGGAATGAAGCCCATAGTTTGAATCGAAGATATGCAAATAAAAGTACATAAGCAATATCCGAGTCTCATAACTAAGGACCATGCCAGGACTAGGCTGAGGGAAATGGTCCAGCGTACTGTAGGAACGGTTAGTCATGTGCTTTCAGCAGATAATTTTGTATCTTACATTGAATCTAGTGTTCATTTGTACCTGCACCTACGCTATAATATTCGGGCGGGTGAACAGGGGCCAGAAGTGCCCTGAAGGAAGACTGAAGAGGGCAGCAAGCCGCCCACGGAGTGCCTCGTGACCACCACCATCCATATGCTGTTGTATGTTTTTTTGTTTGTCTAGTTTGATTTGTTTGGATTGGTTTAGTAGTATGCATTGAGGACTTGTGCACAGGGGGAAGACAACCTCGCCTAAGGATCTCTCCTTACTCTGAACTATTTAACCACTTTAAAGAAGCTCTATTAACCTGTGATTATCTCTTTATATAGGTATAATAGCTTAGTATGCTACTTTTGGCTTTACAATACTATAAGTAACCTAACTATTGAGGTCGTGCTGCTTCTGCATGTCCCAGGCATTCTATTCCTTCGATTGGCAATCTTATAGAAAGCATTCTCATGGTGGGGTACTCCGCCCCACTGCCTTGGCGAGCGACTTTTCTGGAACAATTCTCTAGTTGATTTAAATTCCTAGGGCTGCCGCCTGAGCACCACCATTTCCCAACAGGACTCTATGGACGTAATTGCACCATTGTTATTTTATGCGGTTCAGCATAATCGTAGCTGCCTCGTCCAATTACAGGCGTAGCTAGCAAATCGATTGCAATGGCTGACAATGCCATCTGAACTCTGAATTCGCTCCGGTGCCCGGAGTCAGGGCTGTTCGACTTGCCCGAGTGCTAATGGCTATGCTTGTAAATGTAGGGGTCATTCATTCAGAGCTCCAAGGAATTACTTACGGAGTACTTGTGGAAGATACGATACCTACTAATCCTCCAATTCCCTTTGGCAATTTTGCTTGAACGCATCGGGCCCGCCGTGGACAATATATATCACGCATTTGCTAAGGCTCATTGGCTTAGCGGGTTGAGAATAGCAGCTTTAGGAAGTGATGATCTTCAGAGACAATCTGACTTGCATGAACCGAGATCTGGATAGAGATACACAGAGGAGCACTGTGGCATACCTTAGCTTGAGGGTCTGGTCACTTTCATTCCGCATGTGCATATCCGTGCGTGGCTAAAAGTTCCCTATTGGAGGGTATATAGGGTAAAATGCAGATTCCCGCTTCCAGCCTGATCGTCATCGAACATAGGATCTACTCCCGTCCAGCATAGTAGTACTTGCTGATGTAGACTAGTCTGACAGAGTCTGAAGTGCTACATCTTACAGAACTGACCGGATTAACCTCTATACGCGAGGCTCCTCGCCATCTCCCCTCTTTTCAAATAAACTCTCGATCTTCTCCAGACTCTGTCCTTTTGTCTCCGGCATCAAATAGCAGACTGCCGCAGCAAGGATGGTGGCAAAGCCGTAGAGAAAGTATGGACCGCTGGGCGACGACCGTAGGAACAGAGGGGCCGTGAGAGTCACAATGAAATTGACGATCCAGTTAGCGACCAATTCCAAGGCGCAGACCTTGGCCCGAAGCCTGGTAGGGATAATCTCCGAGGCGTAGATTTTGCCGACCTATACGCCGTGATTAGCAAATTCATTATCCACACCTGTAATGCCCGGTTTTTTGCTCCACCCAAGGCATAAAAAGAACTTACCACGGCCCACGACCAGGAAAAGTTGGCCACAAACACATATATCAAAACAATGACTACCCACTGTGCTGCGGTCGAAGTGAGGATTACTGAATCCGCAGTGGTGTGACCATATCTGGCATATAATGACCCTGTAACAATGAAGCAAATCGCCATCACCAATCCTCCGATAACAAGGGGCATCCGACGACCCCACCGGTCAATCCAGATCTGAGCTGGGATAGTGCAGACCAACATCACAATGCCGGTGACCCCTGAGGAGAGGAACGAGGCCTTTTCGGAAGTGAAACCCGCTTGTCGGAAAAGGATCGGGGCGTAGTATAAGACAACGTCAATCTGGCTCTCCATTAATGTCTGGTCTACACGGTAGGACCCAATGAATATGGACCAAAAGAAAAACTACTTGCCCCAGTCAACTGTTGGAAAGACATTAGGAAGATTCCAAGAGACGTTCGGCTAATATACTTTCGACCAAAAATCTCTCCCCAGCTGGCAAGTGATTTGTGTCTATCTGACTGTAAGCTCTGCTGGATTTCACGTAACTCGGAGTCAACTGCTGCCTCTGTCCGTAACTTGGTCAAGACACGTCTGGCATCATCGCTTCGACCGGCCTGGACGAGCCACCGTGGCGAGAAAGGCAGGAGCAGCAACCCGAGGGAGAGAACAGCTGCCATGACCGCTTGCACGATGAACGGCAATCTCCAGGCCATGCTGCCTGATAACTCATGAGACCCATATGCGATAAAATACCCAGTCATGATCCCAACCACCACAAAAAGCTGCAGGAGGCAGGCGGTCACCCCACGGATATTTGCCGTGGCGATCTCCACGAGATAGACCGTCGCCACGGAAATGGCTTGACCCATTCCCATCCCCGTGACCAGACGGCCGACGATGAGAGCTGCGAAATTGGGCGAAGATGCGGAAATGACGGTCCCGATAAGAGAGAGGATGCTGCCGATGAGTAGTCCATATTTTCGCGAAATCCGGTCGGAGATGTGGCCACTTGCTAAAGAGGATACGGAGGAGGAAAGGAGAACGCAGGAGACATAGATGCCTTGTTGAATGGAAGTTAAGTGACCGATAGACGCGGCGAACTGGTCCATTTGGGTGATGACACCGATCGAACCTGCTCATCTTATTCAACGGTTTTCGACGTCTTCGTGTTGGTCGTGCTTGACTGACCTGTGTCCAGTCCGTATAAAAGTCCTGACAACGAGACATGGCTAGCGATGAGGAATATCTTCTTGGTTGGTGAAATCATCTGGATATTGCAGTCTGCAGGAAGAGATGTATGAAGAGAAAACTGCATGCGAAGCAGGAAGGGAAGTGACTGCTTAAGGAGAGGTCCAGCCCTAACATCTCACAATGGAGAAAGCTGGGAGATACTACCTTACCTTAGCATAACTACGAAATGGTAAGATTGGGAAAGGCCAATAAACGCATTCAGTAAAGTCAGAACGAACTGCTTAGCATTTACCAAGCTCTTTGTCTTGGGGGTACAATATCAACCATCTACCCCGCACTTGCGGTTGGCCCAGACATAGGTACTCTTTTCAGGGTAACCGCCACAGGCGTCCAGCGGACCGGCAGCCTGCAGCCTGTGAGCTCAAAGAGAGAGCATGGTACGGAGTAGTGGCTCCCTCCCGAGTCCCGGCAGTATGCGAAAGCGACGCTCTGTGCTCTATAATAGAGTTTTATATACATAGTACAGTCGAGACTTTCGGCCCGAACCGACACCAATTCTAGGTTAGATTCGTAAACGCCGGGTCATCCCTCATGAGCACTCATATTCTGAGTGAGGTGTGGTCAAATATTGGAACTGACCGTCAACCCCTCTTGAATGTTCTAGGCGGGTAAACCAGTGCTTTCAGAAGAACACGTATGACGGGATATTCAACGTGAAATCTAGACCAGGTCGCTAAGCCCTATGATGTATTCTCATTAAGGAGCAATGGATGTCTAGTATTTGATTGGCCAGCTCGACAGCGCTTGCTGAAATAGCCTCTTTTCCCTGTCAATATTTCCTTGACAGACATGGGTTTGGCTTATTCTTGAGTGGAATGGTGCACACTCACTGCCACTGTCCATTCATGGTCCACTGACCGGGGAGCCGCCAAACTGTGTCCGATACTTACAGACTTCCCCAGCCATTTGAAGGCGGCCCACAAGCTAATTCGTAATCACTGTTGATGTTACATCCTTATTCTTTGATTACCCTTGGGGTGAAGTTACATTCCCGGAGTCGCCAGTGTGTCTCTGAAACCACAGCGGGGCCAGATATTATCGATTAGCGCGACGGTCAGTCTAATCAATAATATGAAAAGAAGAAAGGAAAAGTGGAAGATTGAATCAAAGCAAGTCTATAGCAATCATTGGCACTTATAGTCACTTGAACCTAACTACAGTGGACAAAATTGTGCTGCACAAGCATTGCTCTTATGGGAAATTTACCAAATGTAATCCCTGTGTTGAATAATAGGACCAGGAGTATCACTTCCAACTGGAAAACTCATAGCATATGGACTAAGACCATTGGTAGTTTTAATCCCTCTACTATCTCTCGGGGTAGGTATCAATTTCCTCGGTGCCAAATGGAAACCCCAGTCCGGCTAGTGCTTATATCAAACTGTAGGGATAATGAGACGGTTTGATCGGCGACCTTAGTGTTGTTGTTGTTGTAGTAGTAGTAGTAGTAGTAGTAGTAGTAGTAGTAGTAGTAGTAGTAGTAGTAGTAGTAGTAGTTAGAGAGACATATTAAAATGTCAGTCGCTTAGAACTCTTCCTAAAAGGTCAATTATTCGATGTGCATATGCAAGTAAGATAACCCTAGACGAGAGCAGGGATCTCAGCTAGCTTGTACTGTGGTTTTGGTTCACTGGTTGACAGGAGTAGTTCTGTTAGTATAGTGGGACCTTGCAAGGTGCGAGTCCATCCAATTCTGCTGCTATACAGGTTAGTTTTCTGATACTCTATACGACCCTAAGAAAAATCTCACAGACTGCATTCTGGGCAGCTCAAACCACCTCTCGTAGAGGATCATAAGATGGTGATTATCAGGATATTCCTCTTAGATCGAGCCTTCAACCCATACATATCGTCTCAATTGGACTCGGATCAGGAGAGTAGTAAGCTGGTCATGTAATAAGATGAATTGCGAATCCACGCTCAGGAATCTCAATAACAGTCTCTTACTCAAAATGACCAAATGTACCGTCGTGCATTAACTAGAGCCAGACATCTTGCCACCTAAATCGGCAACGATAGCTATTAATTATAGGAACCACGGTTTCAAAGTATCTCTCTGCACCTATTAGACCCCATTTCTTCTCGAGAACAGACATGGCCCTTAGAAGGCCCCGAAATAAACCCTAAACATCCGCATGTTTATGAGGAGAGGTGTGAAGGCAAGTCTCATCTAGTGTCACAGATTTGCTTATGGGACTTATGGAGGGCCGATGTAACCTAGTCCAATGGTTCATCAGACTAAAGGACCTGATTCCATCACTATATCATCCAATTCACATGCTCCAGGCCCAGACAGACATACTCACTTATATGATCTGATAAAGGGGCTTATAACCTGATTTCTGTAATGCAGGAGCAAGAGCAGTTAGTCCAATAGGTAGATCACGTTCTTGACAGGGTGGATAGATCAACTTCGTCTTCAGGAAACTTTGATGGCTGGCCAGGGGCCCAGCAGCCTCTCTGGGAGTCCTTTACTGGCTTTAGCAGTATACTGAACCTAGAAACGCCTGATTTCGAAACAGATAGCAATCTTTTGATAGATAAGCCGCATCTTATAAGGTTAGAACTCGAGGCGTAGAGAGTTCCCTCTGCTCAGATATCTGCTGAGGGGATGCTCGCTTCTGGGATAAGATTGTCAGCTAGTGATGGTGCTGCTAGAGAATAGATGGGGAGGCCTTGCAGCTCTATTCCATGAGCGATTAGGAAGGCAGTGGCGGATAGATTTCAGTACTTTGGTTCGCAACCTTGCAAGGTTCCACTATACTAACGAAACAACCAGGGTCAACCACAGTGGTCAGAAGGAGAAGGCGAATCAGGCCAGCGAGATGTGCTTCTTATTGAATGGGAAGTTATAGTCCGAGTGCAAGGATAATGTGATGGATGGATCAATCAGCATCCTTGGTATAGTTAGACAGACAGAGTACTATTTCAGAGGAAAAGTTCAATTCAATGTGCACATGCCGAGTAAACTATATAAAGAGTAGATATCTCCTTGTCGATTAGAAGACTCTGACAGAACAGACTGTCAGGACTTTAGGATCAGTGTGAAGAGTAACAAAAGGGAGTCATCTATATCCGTCCCTCAAGTGATAGCACACTATGGATGTCACACAGTGCGGTTTGGGGCCACATAGTATGTTCTGTGCGTGTTCTGATAATGCATTTACACTAATGTATGCCAACTAGGCCCGGAGTTCCACTTGCCTTCTGACATCGATGGAGTCCGTCAAGACCTCTTCACCAAAGGCATTGCTTTTGTCGAAGAGTGCGATGAAACCTCCATTGTGCACCTGGGTAATCAACTTGGGGAGATAGTTCGACCCCGAAATGAGAAGGCCCATGGAAGTGGCATAAGTCATATTCGATTCGCACCGAACTTGACAGGGAAAGGATACAGCTCCGAAGGTAACACTTCCGGATTGTGATGAAACGTTCTTGCAGGACCCGTTCAACTAACAGATACAAACCACCAGAGCTGTTCTTCCACACAGATCGCAGTGGATGGGATGAACCACCGCGAATTCTGATGTCTACTCTTAAGAGTAGATCAGAGGCCGGTGGCGAGTCTCTGCTGGCTGATGGCTATCAGGTACTTGGGGCTCTCAAACAAGAGGACGAGAAGCTCTACGATTTGATCACCAACTCAAAGCACACCAGCTTCCGATCTGATGACGAAGTGTTTGTCCCAAGGGCCATCTTCGACAGAGAAAAAGGTATTCTCCGCTTCAGGTTCGACGATAGCATCCAGCTGTCCGCGTCAATGGTATCTCGCTTTTCCAGATTGCAGGATATCATTTATGAGAATGCCTTTGTTGTCTCGCTACAACCCGGCCAGGGATATATCCTTGACAATCATCGGTATCTGCACGGTCGAGCCTCCTTCTCGGGTTCTCGAGAGTTGCTGCGAGTCCTTGTAAAGCCTCACGCTCCTCGACGGGAGACGGTGGTCTTGTTTGACATCGATGGAACCCTCTGCCGTTCGGAAGAGCTCAGCATCGACGCGTACTTTTCCTGTGTCAGCGCAGTGGTGGGTAAAACCATTACTCATGCCAATACACCAGTGAACCTGCACGGTCAAACGGACCTAAGCTTGCTCCGTGCCATCCTCGATTATCACGGTGTGGATGATAAATCCCTGCTTACGGAGAAATTCTTTCAGCTGCACCCGCAGTATCTGGAAGACTCTAACGCAAGAGGATTACAGGCCGCGCCCTGCCCGGGTGCAAAGGAAATGCTGGTATGGCTCACGGAGGACCGAAACAAGCATTGTTACCCGCCTATTATTCACATTGGCCTGCTAACAGGCAATTCGCGACCAAACGCTCTGCTCAAGCTACGTGCAGCAGGAATCGATACCAGCATATTCGATCTTGAGATCTCCTCTTTTGGAGATGTTCACTCTGATCGCCATACCTTGTTCCAAGACTCGTTCGCCAAGCTGCAAGCGTGTTATGGTCTTGGAATCAGCGCACACGATATCATCATTGTGGGAGACACCCCTCTTGACGTTGAATGTGCCAAGCAGTCTGGTTGCTCAGTCATTGCCGTTGCTACTGGGAGCTACAAGGTAGATGACCTCGCCTTGCTCCAGCCTGACTTTTGCTGTAGCCAGTTGCCCGAGGCCAAGGATTTCTTGGCCCTGATGTTCATTCACTCCTCGCAGCGAGGTGGCGGCCGAGATTGAGAGATTAGTGAAGCAGGGAAAAGCGGCAGAGGTTTCGATTGAAAAATAAGGCTTCTCGTAGTAAGAGTTGGTTGAAACCGATGTTGAAGAATGGCCCCGCGAAGTCGTTAATTGCTCCTCCCGGTGAAAAAGTTCTAATGTACATGTTTTTAGAGTTTGCGAGGACCATTCCCATGTCAGTCAAGTCTTGCAGATCCGTTCCAGGTGAAGTGTTGAATCTAGAATTGTTTGGGCATTAGGCTCCGCGCCCCCTTGGTAAGAAGCATGTTCGCGACGGAGACACCGAGTTGTTCGGCTTCCTCGTCGCACCGGACGGTGGCCACGTCCTCAGCAACAATCTCCGACGTTCCTTCTACATGAAGAACCATGGCTCGCAAGCTAAGGTTGCCGCCGCTGCTACCATCACGGCCTCGTCGTGAGCCCTCTGTCAATCCGTTTTCTTCTTTTTCTAGGGGCTCCAGAGAAGACTGCACGCCGATTTGGGACGAGCATCCTCCCTGGAGGCTGCGAAGCATCGCTCGCTCTGCCATCCCGCGCCATCGCGACGGCTTATGGTCGACATGGCGGACCAGCTCGAGTATGTCTGGACGGTCCGTGCTCACCTCGACCCCGACGGCGCCCTGACCTACGGCATAAGGGAATATACTAGCATCCAGTCGATGCGTAATCCGATGGCCTAGTCCCAGGCGTAACAGTCCTGCAGTCGCCAAGAGAATGCATGAGAACCGGGAAGAAGGTGCGTCCAGCTTAGCAAGACGGGTATCTCTAAGATATACAAGAGTCCCTTATTAGAATCAAGACTCAAGCTTTTTGCGCTGGTAGAGATTGCCTTGAGTAGTAGCAAGAACCGACCCCCTCAGGGAAAAAGGTAAAAGACTCATCACTTACACATTGCCGCGACATTCTACAACCTCCAAATGAGGCCAATTTCGCCGAACCAGCGCTTTCCTCCGCGAAGAGCTCGTTCCCACTATGGAACCTGGGGGTAATTGATCGATGGATGTGAACTCCAGATCGGACTTCATACAGACAGCATCAGAACAGTCCTCCCGCTCGGGGACCGCGCCCAGGAGACAATGCGGCGGTAGCGTGGTCGGCATGTCCTTTAAACTGTGCACCAAACAGTGAACCTTGCCGACCACCAAGTTCAATTCCAGGTCATTAGTCCATAGGCTTTTACCAATATCGGAGCCACCGGTCAGCTTGGAGAGGACCGCAAAGGGCGTCTGCTTATCGGCATCGCCAACGGCACTGCCGGTGGCAATTTGAAAGGTGGGAGAGGGGTTGAGTGTTTGGCCCAGCTTGGATGTGACCCAACGAGTTTGGACGAGGGCGAGCTCCGATTTCCGGCAGCCGAAGATCACCTCTTCTTCTCCTGACGATGAATTGTGTTGCGGCTCAGAGCAGCTATCCACGTCAAGACTCATGGTGGGCCTCATCTTTATTCTACTGCTTATTTGACTAGGAACCCTTTTCCAGAGGACACCATGGTCCATGAACGACAATCTAGAATCTGACTTTGACTTCACTAATATTCCAGATGACGCGCTGAAGGATGAGGGCCCCAAAGTCAATAAGGTAGAGAGTACAAAGAGGGAACTTAGGAGAGTTTGGATCTGCGGGACAACCAGGAATGGCTAGATTGGGTCAAGCCATGGTGAAGGGGCTATGGGATGAGCATCTCAGTAAGAATAAAGGGAAGGAAAGGGGAAAGGGCATTGGTGACATCCAAAATACGTAGTATACTCAGCAGCGAGGCCCATGAAGTTCCTTAAATATAGCATGCCCTAACCCTACAAGGATGAGTGGGACGCAGCAGATCACTTAGCGCAATTCCATTACAACACTATTACCGAATAAATAACCTCTTCCAAAAGACAAGAAGGATCCTGATGTTTAAATTAGATGGAGCCTGTAGAGGCTTTTCCAGCCTCTTCCTATAGGAAATACATATATTTTATGGTTTGGGGATGTAATGAAGCTTTAAATGCTGTCTCATCGAAAAATCTAACATTGCTATGTTGAGGTGGCGGGGTCGGTTAGTCCTATTTCTTTCACTCTTAGGTTGCGTCGGCCCGTCCCGCTCCTTGGCGAGAGCATTGTGGATCATGTGACTTCGTCTTTGTTGGATCAGGGCTTATTAGCGTCTTAATTAGGCCTATGTTAGGGCTCCGTTACAGCTCATGAAAAAATTTTCTCCACAACACTTAGTTCTCTTATTATTGGACTGCACCCCCTTTTATCCTCGGTTAGAGAGGAAGAGCTCACGGAAAAATTTATCCACAACTCCCATCTTCCAATCCTGGTTCTCCGATTGTTGCACTAGATCCCCTCTTACCCACTTTTGAGTTTAATTACCAGACCGCAAAATTACAGAATGGCGTCTGAGATGAGGGTGATCGTTTCGGGCGGTATTTCAGCGGAGCTGCACGAAAAGCGGCGTCAGGCTCTGATTGATCAGTTGAACCTTGCGCTTGGTGGAGCCGCAGAGTGTGCCCAAGGGGTCTGGGCCGCTCTGTGGCTCTGCTCCATCGAGAAACTGGAAGAGTATGTTCAGCATATAAAACAGAGCCCAGACAGCCTTATAGTCACCTCGCTTCACACGACGGCTGTGGTGACGGATATCGTCAAGCCCTGTATGTTTTCACTATTCTACGCAACTAACTATGTATTCTCAAAGTTACTCAACTCTCTTTAGGGTTGACAAGCCGTGTCAAAAAAACTGTTGCATCATCTGTTCCTGGAACCCCTGTGGGTGGTGCTGCGTCCCCTGCGAGTCCATCAATCCCGACCACGACCTCCCCGACGACGCCCAACCCGAAGAGAAGGCGGCTGCATCTCGACACAAATTTCTCGTCCTCAGGCCCAAACTCCCCGAGGTCTGCCACAGCACAGCGAGCAGTAAGTGTATGACTTCAATATGCATTTACAGATGGGCTGACTTGATTCTACTACAGGCTCTTGAAAGGGATGGCGAGCGTTGCGTTATAACGAACAGGAGGGGTTGCACGCAAAGCGCCCATATTTACCCTTACTCTCTTCGTGACGGCGTTGGTCCTAAATGTGCTAGATTTTGGGACGCGCTGTCCATGTTTTGGCCACCCAGTACAATTGAGGAATGGAAAGCCGATGTTTTCGGGGGCTCAAACACTGAATTCTGCTCCAATAGGATTACTCTCTCCGCAGACGTGCATATATACAGGGGAAAAGGCCTCTTCGCCTTGAAGCCTGTTTCTATGAGCGAAGATGAGAAGACTCTCCAGCTCGAGTTCCACTGGCTGCGTCCAGTGCAGCAATCTTCTTCAACTGTACTCCTAAGCGATAAACCGTCTCTTGAAGAGTCTCTGAATGGCATCGATAAGGATATTGCTCTCTACAACTCTGAAGGACGGTTGGTTTCGTCTGGCGACAAGATATGGATGAAGACAGATGACCCACTTGATCGTCCACTCCCAAGTGTGAAATTACTGGCGCTACAATGGGCGCTACAGAGGCTGGCATCGCTTAGCGGTGCTGCAGAAGCCGTGGATGTGTTGTTGGACAGTGATGATGAAGACAACGACGATATGGTCAGACTGTATGATTCCGAAGAAGATTACTCCAAGGTCGATGACATGTTTGATGACAGTGTATGGGTGTTTATGAGCCACTCCTCTCTTGTTCGAGGCTAATGCGGATAAAAAGGCTTCCACAAAGACGACCAATCGACTCGCAAGTTGCGACACAGAGACCACGCCGGCCGTTCAGGGCGTTTGAGGAGGGTAGGATGGTCCATTCTTCGTTGAGTGGGACACGTATTACGATCTGGAATGCTGCTGATTATTCAATATGTAACACTATGGCTGACTCTTAAGAGTAAAGTAGGTAGGATCTCGTGCCTTTCAATAACAAAAAGGAGTATTTCAAGTATTATTAAACCAGATCATCTATGGAAGTCATCGTAGGTTATTGTGCCTAAAAGAAAATGCCAGCTGACATGATATACGCCCAGGCTTGGATCCTCCAGACACGCGGCCATGTCCTTTCTGGTAAGGCATCTACAATTCCCGTTGGAGGGTTCTGTTGCCGGCGAAAACGCCTCGGGAGACTTGAACGGGTGTAGATCTGCTGATTTCGGCGCCGGCCAGGATGCCTCAGGCATAGATATGAAACCATTTACCTCTCCAAGCGGTTCAATATCTTGTACAAGAGTTGTTCTCATCCTCAGTTTTCGGGTCGCCATGAGAAGCATTCTCTTTTTGTAACGAGGAACCAATGATTTCTCCAATCTCCCCTGAGGCCGTCCCTGCTAGGACCCCGATTCCAATTATTCCGCCATCACTGACCTCGCGAAGGAGAACGCTTTTACCTCCTTCTTGCGGTCCAGCGCATAGGATGAGCCGATCGATATATCTCTGAACAGTTTCCTTGTAATGAGGATAGTGTTGGATGACTCCACCTGAGACAGCTACTGCCAGTTCTTCTGGTCCGTTTTTCCAGCCTGATTTGGACGAAAATCTACTGTGTTGTAATTCACATTGTTCAGTAACCTTCAGTGCAACATGCGAATTCTGGTCGACCTTGGCGCTTAGAGAGTCAGGACTCCGCAGCTGTATCTCCCGAGTGCAGGCGAGAAGGCCAACAACTGCAGAAGCCACCAAAGAAGCAGCTCGGTCCTGCACTGCCGCTGCAATGGCACGAACATCACCCGCTAATTCAGGGGTCCAACTCCAACTGCTCGTTGGGGGAGGTGGTAAATGCTTTGATAGATCGCTTGCTAGGCGTTCATTGGAGTAATTGGGAGCCACAAAGAGAGAGAGAAAATCTGTTGTAAGAGAATATTCCTTGACTAGTTTCAGGGGCAGCGCAGACATCGCGATTCCTAGGGACCGATGGAACCAGTCGTAACAGATGATTCGGACCAACTCCCCGATATATCGCCCACCGACCATGTACTCGAACGGTTGAAACCCTGGTCGTTGGGAATGCATATCCAGTTCAGTATCCCATGGGGTGGTGATGCCAAGTTCATGCAAAGGAGCAGTCGCACTAGAAAGTGTCCATTCAGTAGAAACTAGCGTTTCTATCGCATCAGGCTCCCTAGCACGTATATGACGAGTCTTTGACTCATGGAGTTCGGTAATTCTAAAAGGAACAGTAGCATTACAACCAGCGCCTACAATCAGCCCCATGACCACGCGCGTGTTGGGCAGAGAAGGCATAAAGTATGCCAGAGAGGCGAGAGTCGCCACGGTGTCGTTGGTCATGACTGCGATTTTTAATGAAGGCAGACAGTACAGCTTCCGTTTCTTAGCTGGCATCGGCCCATCGTTCTCATCAAGGCGACGGGTGTGCCGTTCGTATCCACTCAGCAACGCCTGGCGAAGGTTCAGGTCCGAATTCAAGGCAAACCCTTTCCCTGTCGGCATTAAGATGGCTTCATCTAGGGATTTTTGCCTGTTATCTAATTAGATATATGGTACAGTGGAACAGACGGAAAGATTATCATATACTTAACAGGAAAACAGAGAGAAATGCCTGTAGTCAATTCTCTAGGCATCTTCTCACTTGGATTGGCGAGACTATCCGCCACTACTTCAGCAATACAGTCACCAATCCAAGTGAACAGGTCCAGGGCGTGATCTCGTCGCAAGTGCTCTTCAATGGGCCATGCCTTCTCCAATGTTCGCCTTACGCGTGAGTGGCCCTCAACCTGTTGATCTCCCAACAGGTCAATGAAGGCGATTCTTAGATACGATAGACCAACATAGACCGCTAGATAGCGGCCCGATTCGTGCCCTGTGGGAAGACATGTGATTGCCGTGGGGAAAAACTCCTCTAATGAGGTTGAAGCTAACTTCTGATATGACAAAGAGAGGCGACAAGACAGCTTATATAGCGTATCGAGTTCCGTATAAAGTGGCCGAAGGAATTCCTTAAGATCCGAATATGTTCTTGGGTTTGCTGGGATACTAGGGTTTGGCCTTGACATCGTGTTTGGTACGATGTATAAGTCTGCAAGTCTCAATTAACAATCAGATGACTGCTGTTTCCAGCAGATAGTGTGATGGAAACTAGGACGTGGAGGCGTCAAGAGATGCCTCCAAGTCCAGCGCGCCTGGTCAGGCTGGTCTAGCGCCTGGTGGAGGGACAGTATGATAGTTATGCCAGATCATTATTACTAATCAATGGTATAAAAATACTAAGTTACCTGATACGGAGTATTTACCTATGATGGGAATCAGAAGTGACTCTAGTAGCCAAGGAATAATAATATCCTTTCAAGGCTTTAACTCATAACTTAGCAGGAGAATCTGAGACTCTATCATATTACCAGGTCATCTGTTTAATATTCCCACACCATTAACCATTCCAAGCGTGATGAAGTCAATTAGTGCCATGGGCTGATATCAGATACAAAAAAGAGCAGTGCAATATTGCCATCCATGTTGAAAAGGTGCCCTAAGCACATCTGTGAGACTGATCAGAAAAAGCTGCGTCTCATCGAAAGGATTTAATCTCACGATGGGTTTACCACACAATTTCAAGGTCACCCTTACTAGCAGAGCTCTTCACAGGCACAGGTATCATGTGCAACAACATCATACTAGAAATCGTTTGTTTAGGATAGGGGGCGTGGCATTATCCAGCACAGTGTGGATCTAATCAGTCCCCTTATTTATGCTTATCTTTGCAGGCACACTAAAGATAGTTCAAGGAACTCGCCTTGTAAAGGTTGTTTCAGGACGCGTAAGCATTCTTTAAGGGTCTAGTGGCGCTGTCGCTGTTTGATCTCGTGGAAAGGACCAAAAGTGAAATGACAGAAAGTATACACGGCTGCTAACCACATAACCACGAGACTGGAACAAAAGTACGGCGGTATGTCCGCTTATCAAATGGTTACTACACTAGAACCCCGAATCTCTGCTAACCAGGATCCTCAGCCAACCCCTCGTCGCTTCCATGGAAGACGTCGATTGTAGTACATCTTCTGTTATCTCTTCCGTCGCGTCCAACAATTCTTCAAACAATTCTTCAAAAGCCACAGTCCAGATTATGGATTACTCCAGCTCTGGGGCTTGCCTGATAATCTACTGCGTCGAGATTCAATGCATCTACATCCTATCCTCCCTTGGACAGAACTAAGCCGTTATGAGCGATCCCTCCCGATGCTGATCTATGGTCAACAAATAAACCCGCATCCCCTTGACTCGCTAACCAAGGGGCTAGGGGTCAATTGCTGATCAAGTTCCCCCAGGGCCGGGGTCACCTTCTCCATCACTGCGCAAAAGCCTCGGATCGTCGGGCAGCGTGGGTAGGGAGTCGGTAGTCTAGTAGACAGGCTGGAACCGCTGGACTGAACCCTGATCATCTAATGCATGGTGTGCGCGAGTGAGATACGTACCTGATTGGCGACCTGGCATTGTACCCTAGCATGGCGGATGACCTTGATACCTTCATTAAAGAAAAAGTCGAAGAACTGGCCAACGACATGAGATACCCACGGCAAACCGCAAAAGAGGTCTCCCGAATCCTCCATGAGAAGGCAGAGAAGACATTCTTGTGGGTCGGCATAGCATGCAGCGCCTTGGTCGATGTACCTTCGAAAGATGCTGTCAAAAAACTATCGAGCTTACCCTAGGGCCTTGAAGAGCTATATGGAAAGCTACATGCCACAGCTCTTGAATTTGCACAGAAAGAAGACAATCTTGAAGAGATTACGCGAATTGTAAACTTTGTCATGATATCGCGCCGACCATTGACCGTGTTGGAATTGGCTGAAGCTTGTCAATTGTCTCCAGACGGAGAGGATGATACCCGTAAACAACACACCGAAGAGCACATCGAGACGTGCCGCCTGATGGTCGTCATCCAGAATAATACTGTACAGCTGCTGCATAAATCTGTGAGAGACTTCCTGCTTGGTCCTTCAAGTGGGCTTCCTATAAACGAATCGAAAGCTCACGCCTCAATGGCGAACCGATGCATCAACTTTCTTCAGAGAACCTTTCGGCAGGGAGGAAAGTCGGAACCGCGTCACAAAACAGACCGATTTCTCGAATATGCGCTACTACACTGGACGCAGCACGCTTCTTCGGCGCACAATGACTTCTCTGTCGTCCGGGAAACTGAAAAAAAGCTTTTTCCGATTTGCGTCCAAGGAACGAGAAACTTGGTTGAGAAGGTATAGAGATATGCGACCTTTTGAAAGGATCCCAGAGGGATTCTCCGTCTTCCACGTGGCTGCGCGGTGGGGAATTGCTTCTTTAGTACATTTCGCGTTAAGTGAGATATCGGGATGCGACGATATGCAGAGTACTCGGGATAATGATCGGGATATCCGTAGGTATGACGATTCAGAGTTCGTCGCGGCGAACCGTGTCACACCCCTAGAGGAGGCGGCTAGAGAAGGGCGAGCAGATATCATACATGTTCTGTTGAAAAACGCGCTGCCTGCAATGGTGATAAGAACGGAGGTGGTTGTAGCAGCAGCAGCGAATCAACAGAGTTCCAAAGTATTGGCGTTGCTCCTGAACGAACGAGGAGACCAGATCAAGGTCACTGAGGCTGTGGTCAAAGGCGCAGCAGGGAATAGGGAAAATGGGGAGGAAGTGATGGAGCTGCTCCTGGACCAACGAGGACATCAGATCGGGATCACTGAAGACGTGGTCAAAGCAGCAGCAGGAAATCAAACAAAGGGGAAGGAAGTGATGGACCTGCTCCTGGACCGACGAGGAGTCGAGGTCCCGGTCACTGAGGATGTGGTCAAAGCCGCAGCAGAGAATAGGGGAGGGAAGGAAGTGATGGAACTCCTCCTGGACCAACGAGGAGACCAGATCCATATCACTGAGGATGTGGTCAAAGCTGCTGCAGGAAACCAAATGAAGGGGAGGGAAATGATGGCACTGCTCCTGGACCGCCGAGGACACGAGACTCAGACTACTGAGGATGTTGCCAAAGTCGCAGCCGGGAACAGGGGAAATGGAGAGGAAGTGATGGCACTGCTCCTGGACCGGCAAGGAGACCAGATCCAGGTCACTAAGGGTGTGATCAAAGCCGCAGCAGGAAATGGAAGGAAAGGGAAGGAAGTGATGGCGCTGCTCTTGGGGCACTTGGGGCGCCAGATTCAAATCGAGCATCATGAATTACAAACAGCCTCTTGGAAGCGCAATATAGAGAAGGTGGAGCAGCTTCTTGCAAATGGAGCCAATGCTGCTTCTGCAAATCGCTGCGGTTGGGCACCACTACATGCAGCATCTTGGAACGGTGATATCCAGGTTGCCAGACTGCTTCTCGCTAAAGGCGCCCATCCCACTGCCAAAAGTAATATTGGCTGGACGCCCTTGGACGCGGCATTAGCCAATGGCCGCGTTGATACCGTTCGACTTCTTCTTCCACATGACCCTGACGCTGCCGCGAACTTCACTCCGACATGTTTTAGTGATCTTAGAAAGTCAGGTGTCCTAGAGCTGGACGGTGAAAAATTGGAGGTGAGGTATGTTAGATTACCAAATAAAGGTAAGTGAGTGACTATAATCTGAGCCCTTTGCTGTGGTGACCATAGAATGTGCAATTGACACTTCCTGTCTTTCTAGGGAGGGCAGCTCCAGGGCCTCCAGTTGTGTTTGGCTCAGTGCTTGCAAACAAACCCATTTCTCCTTTGGAAGATGTCTTTTACTTTGAGATTGAGGTAATCAGTTCAGGTCACAATGGGTTGGTTGGACCATTACTCCTAAGAATTCTTGAACGGATGTGCTAAATTTCCGTATTGTTAAAACAGCGCGATAGCATTAGGTGTCTGTAGGGAAAACTCTGTACTAGAGCGAATGCCCGGATGGGAAGAAACGTCATGGGGCTATCATGGAGACGATGGAAAGAAATTTCATTCTGCCTCACAAGGCCAGCCCTACGCAGAGAAATTCGGAGATGGGGACAGAATAGGCTGCCGCCTCGAGATGTCCAGTGGAAAGCTAGAGTTTTTTAAGAATGGCCGAGCGCTTGGTCAGTCACTCCGAGATTTGTGTTCTGTGTTTGCATCGATTGGCTGACGATCGTCCAGGGGTTGCGTTTACAAATGTCCATGGCTTTGTATTCCCGGTGGTAGGCATTGGCTCGTATGGTGCCCAATTCGGGTTGATTTCAGGCCGCATGCAGAGAGCTGGAGCGGACAGTCCGAAGTATAGCGAAGCCAGTTGCTTGCGCGTGTATTATTGCGGATTACGAGGAGGTTTAGCGGGACTTGCCAGATTTCGAGCCTGACGAGGCACTTATGGAAGGTCTTCCAGCCGTTGACGAACCATTGTGCATATACACTGGTCAGAGGTACTCGGACAGCGTGCGGCAAGCACTTTGGCATGACTTGTTCGACTCCGCAGACACGCATATCCCTCACGACAGACCATCAAACGTAATCACTATGAAACATCAAGATTAAACAGAATCATCTCTTCCAGCCACAGCCACCTCAATTCGCTGAGAATTCGACTTGACCTTCTTCACATCCTCTTCCTCATCCTCTTCGTCCTCGCCTTGCTCATCACCCTGATCCTCAGGTAGAATCACCTTATCACCAAAAGACGCAGCAATCTCCTCGAGAGTCTTCTGCTTCGTCTCACTAGCAGTATATCAGTACATCTTCCACCAAGTAGCAACCGCCGGTAACAAATGCATAACTCACGGGAAATAGAAATACGCCACCACGAAAAAGAACGCCGTACACGCCACGAAGACATAGTAGTAGTTCTCGTGGATGTTCGCAAACGCACTGGGCCCTGCTTCGGTGACTGCACATGCATAATCTTAGTTATTTTGCCATTTACCCAGCGGGGAGAGTCGAGGGAACAGACCAGCTACATTGACGATAAAATGCGACGCGGCCGCTAGACCCATTACCTTACTTCGCAGCGCGATGGGGAGGACCTCGGCGCCGTAGAGCCAGGTTGTGCTGTTTAGCATGCCGTCTGGGATCCTTTAGTACGGTTCTTTTCCTTCATTTCATACCGATAACCGGCATGGGATGCACCGCGGGGCTTAGCCAGGGGAGAGGAAGGACGTACAATAGGTCACTACAAACAGGTAGATACCCAGTATGGCGAAGCCCTTTCCGACGCGGTTATTTGTGTTTTGGAATTCGCGCTGCATGACTGCGGCGTAGATTTCGATGAGGATTATGCCGCCTAGGCCGGTGAGGATCATTCTACGATGCAGATGTGGATTAGTTTGGGTTATGGAGAGACTTGGAGGGGAGAGAGGTGGTTACTTTCGGCGACCCCATTGGTCAGTGAGGTATTTGGTTGTGAGGCAGTTGGTGAGGAAGGCGATTGTGCCGTACACGGCGGCTAGGGCCAGGATGGTGTGCGAGTCGATGCCGAGGGATTTGTAGAGGATTGCTTTGTTCTGGTTAGTTCCGGCTTAGGAAGTCAGGACAGGCAGGGTGTCTCACTTTGGTAGTACTAGTTGTATGCCAATGTTAGTCGAGTATCGGATGGTTTTGGGGCAAACGACATGGCAGACATACCTGGATGACATTCACGCCAGTCAGACTAGTCATCGTCTGCACGGCAATCGAGCTACATCCGTCAGCTGGAGCGCCTTCATTCGACCAGTATCACTTACACCAAGACACGGTGCCGGAACAGGCGAAAGATCTCCCGGTAGGAAGTGATCCCCCGCTCCTTCTCGTAGTTGATCTGCGCAAGCATAAGCTCAAACTCCCGATGCACATCATCCGAGTGGAGATCCCTCCGGATCCGCACGAACTCGCTGCGCGCCTGCTCGATCTTGCCGTTGCGAATCAAATGTCGCGGCGAGTTTGGCATGAAGGTGACCAGTCCAACGAACATGATGATGCCCCAGGGAATCTGGATGCCCAGCGGCAGTCGCCATTGCACGGGTCCATATGGCGCAAAGCTACAGGCGAAGCCAACCCAGTTCGATGCCATGGTTCCGAAGGAGATGCCGCAACCTGAGATACCACCTATGAGGCCTCGATGGCGCGGGTCTGAGATCTCGCTGAGGTAGATGGGTACAGTGGCTACCATTCCTCTGCAAATGAGTGAGCAGAGTACCCTACGCAGAGTCATGGGGGGGGGTCTTCTTACCCAACGGCATAGCCAGCAAGGGCACGACCGGCCAGGAACATCCCAATGTTGATTGATGCTGTTTGGATAGTGGTTCCGATCGTCACGACCACACACATCAGGGCCATGAACCGAAGTCGACCCAGTCTATCGCCGATCGCTGTCTGTGTGAGGGCACCGACTGCCTCGCCGGCGATGTAAACGGCGACGACCTGGCCCTGTCAGATTGAATCCTGAATATTGCGGAGAACCTAAGCATACCGCTCCGGTAAGGCCGGCCGACGGGTGGCCCATATAGTTGATCCAGCTTCCATGGGCAATAGCTGACAGAATACGGGGTTAGTCCCTTGCAAGATATCGAATCGAGTAGCGCAACCCCTGCTTACTTGTTGTGGCTATTCCTGTATCAAAGCCCTGCTCTGCGATTAGCACAGCTAACATGCCATATTTGATGAGAAACATACAAAAAGAAATGTCCCGATGGCCGCGAAAAGTGCAATACTCAAGGTATACCACTCCGTCATCTTGCACAATCCGAGTTTACAAAGTCCGCAAGAATGTTCCGAGGTTGCAAGATGCAGGACGACAGTTTGTCGGACAGGCGCAGATCCCCAGCATCCACCGCCATTTATATGTCGACCTCCATGAATATCAAAACAGGCAATAGATTGGCGGGTGTATGCTGTCCGACAGGAAGCCGAGGGCGTGTAACTGTCAGTCCCACTCGGAGGATGGCCGAGAAGCAGGCCCCCATGGGGTCACTCAATCTGGGGTAGATAACACCGAGCTTCGTGTGTCTAGCTTCAGGTTCCCTTTAATCAGCAAAGTTCAGCCAGAATGGACGACGGGGGGATATCCGAGTTATTCGTGGGGTTCCTTTACTCCGCATTTTGTACACCAATGGATTTGGTGCAACGGCCGGGCTAGCGATGAAAGACGTCACTCGCAAAGCAAATGAATCATGCTTTTTGAAGTTTAACTAGAGCTATTACCACTAGTATCTCTCAAATATAATGATCAGCAAAGATCGCAGCGTAAGGGAGCAGCAGAGCTGTGTTTGAGGGTGGGGTGGAGATAATAACAGGTCCTACTTGATAGCAGAGATGGAGAACTTCTTGTCTTCTTTTGGATAAATTCACGATACTATTGTCCGACCTTGAATGAGCGATAACAGTGAGAGTTGTCATCGATATCAAGTCGGACAAAGTCCGTCCGTGATCCAAGGTGTGTTTGTAGTTGAGGTGATTGAGGACTACTCGTTCGTTTTTCAGTAGTACTTCCGTCTACTCCCTGGCAAAAAGGACGCTGCATTTTCGATGATAACGAGAAGACGCATAGAATGAAGATAATACTCAAGAACGCAAGTACCGTTCTGTTGTGTAGCCACGCTCAATGAAGCCAACAAGTTAAGACTCGATGGAAACTGACATGATTTCCTTCTCCGATTCTGTGGTCTTGAGACTATTCAGGTATGAGTCACATGAGAGGCTGTATGCTCGTTCTGTCTGGTAATATGTTCTTGTCAGAGGTCCTCCAGGTCGCTGCTTCGGGATTTGACAGAGATGAGTGTCATTGGCACGGCGCATTGCAAAATACCTTGCAAAGGTTGAGAGGTCAACGCGATGGTCTACATGGAACACAAGAGAATTTCGTGAAGAGACTCATAATCTAGGAGTCATATTGTCATTTTGTGAATATGAATTCCTATTTCATTTTTTTCCATTGCCAATGTCATATGCCCTCCGCCGGAGTAGTAGACCGGTCTGCAATGCACGAAACCCGGAGCCGAACAAGTAAATCGCAAATTTAGAAAACAAGAGCAGCACCCTTGGTCTTCTTGTCACCACTAAACAGCAAAAAGCGTACGTTAGTATGTATGGACCAGATGTCACCACAGTCGCAGACTCAACGTACCCCAACTCGAAGTGCTTGCAACGCTTCAGAGCGAGCTGCTTCTTGGCCTTGCAGGCAGTGCACTCAAGACGCAGGACGACCTTCTTGGTGGTCTTGGCCTTCTTGTGGAAGACAGGCTTGGTCTGACCACCGTAACCGCTCTGCTTGCGGTCGTAACGACGCTTACCCTGGGCGAACAGGGAGGCCTAATAGATCCATCATCAGTGCCTGTGCCAACTCGCCTACCATGGCGTATGGGTTGTATTCACCTTGCCAGCCTTGTACTGGGTGACCTTGTGCTGGGTGTGCTTGTGGCACTCCTTGGACTTGCAGTACGTCCGGCGGGTTTTGGGAACGTTGACCTGGTAAGCGGAAGAGCTGTCAGCAACTGTCCGCAACAATCCCACAAAATCGTAGTGCTAGCTGTTTCCATGTCCCGGTCATCGGAGAATCCAATCAAATTCGGCACCGGTTGTGATAGGAAGAGATTCAGATTCCCAGCAGAGACTAGGTCACAAGTTTTTCTGGCGAGAGAATATTTGTCGTTATTTTTCGTGTTTGATGCGCTCAGGCTTTCGTTGTCCGGGCGTTCGTTGCGTCCTCATCTCTTCGAGGAATATCCCGTAACTTTTCCTCTGAACTCTGACGCATGGAAATAGTCCAATGTCTCATATCCGAGCAAAATTTATCGTGGTTTGCGATCGATAGCGTTTTCACCCGCTTTTCCCTTGTCCGCAACTCCATCGTCCTCGACCCCGAACAAATATCTCGTTTCATCGCCAAGTACCGAGTTTTCGACAGAACTTCTCCGAATCACCAGGATGGAAACAGCATGCGAGCAAGAATAACGCAAATAAGTCCTTACCATTTTGACTGAGTTGGCCGGATCGCGAGATTGTTGGTCGTTGGAGAGTCTCTTGTCGGAGAGGAGCAAGTCGGACTGTACGTGGGTTGTGGGATTTCGTTCGCTTAGGGCCCTATTTCGGGTGGGCACTAACCGCTTCGGGTGTGCGTGCCAAGACCGCTGGCTGCCCCAGGCATCATCTCCGTCATTACCATCATTATTTCTCTTCGGCTCACCCTATCAACTGTGGGTTCTTTAGGTATGATTAAACCGAGCACGTCTCCTGTCTAATATTTCCGAACTCGAATCGGATGCGTAAATGCTTTTCCGACAAGCACTTTCTCTCCTTCTCCGTACCAACATGGACCCTTACAGAGTTCTAACCCCATTTCTTCTCCCACAATCCATTCTGCTCCAGCAGATACAGTCCGGTTCTCTCCAGGCCAGTACTTTGCTTGAATTTTCTGGTTGATTTGGTCGATCTTGTCTACCAAGGCCGCAACACGCTCACAATCGTACATCGATTCTCCACGCTCACCCAACTTCTCAAGATGAAATCCATCATGTGTGATGAACCTCGCAATCGTGATATGCGCCGAGGGTACTAGGTACCTAGGTTTGAGCTGTAATCCCGTAGCTGCGACCCCAGCATACAGATCTCGTCGCAGGTGATGATACGTGTATTTGTCATCGTCCGCGGAGCGACTCCATCGTGATGGCTCTCCAGCTGCAGGAACAAAGCTAAGGGCCATGGCTGCGGCGTCGAAGCTGACAACAGGCTTGACCAGCCGTGCCCAGTGGTTGAAGGTATAGTTGACCAAATGCGGAATCACACCACTCTGCTCTAGATGAGACACAAAAGAGTCGACCTCCAAAGAAGTCCGGGAACTGGCTATCTCAAGGACCGTCGTATGTAGGAAGTCTGGTGGTGTAAGCCATGTGTCTATCACCGGTCAGTCATAGCTCAGGAGACAGAAGCTATTGATAGCTCACTTGGCACAACACTCTGGATTTCTTTCTGAATCTCGGCAATCAAGTCCTTTATATGCTGTGGTGGTCGTGCGTAAAAGTTGAGATTGTTCCTATGATCAATGAAAGGGGTCTGGCCCTCATGGCTGGGTATAGTCGTTTGTACATGTAGCTTCTTCAGGATTTCGTCAACCTGCCATCCTGTAAAGTCCGGGCTGAGGAGGTGGGCCTTGGACTTTGCGTTCCTTGTAGACCGGTGCGCTTCATATTGAGCTTGAATCTGAGCCTACTTGAGTCAATAACTATAATTCCAGGTGAGGCTGTGGACAATTACCGGGTTGCCTTGACACTTGAAGATCAATTCGTCAAAGGGGTTTTGGCTTGAGTCTTGTGCCATCTTGGAGAAAGTGTCTTTTTAATGTTGTCAATGGTTGAATTTCAAGTATATATAAGTATTGGTTCCTGCCATCCAAAAATAGCAAACTAGCGCACGCACAGCATCAAGTCACAATGGGCTACTTCTGCATGTAAACAGAGTAGAGGCCAGACATTTCAACACTGCCTGTGTGTAGCTTACACGATAATACATGGAGTATATCATACCATTGACATAAATCCCATTTCAAAAGGCTATCCTTGAAAGAGACTATCCAGCTGCTAAGAGATGTCCTGTTAGGCTACCTCCTACATCAAACGTCCCTTTCTTTACTGCCCCACCGATAACCCCGCTACTGCGAAGCCTTCCGTCACCATCATCTCCGATCAACCACCGTCATCTCACTACTCTTGCTCGCCTCAATACAATTATCTTCGTTTTAGCGCGTTGGCAGCTACTTCTTGCTTTGATATCCAAGTCCTTCAGCTGAGTTTCACTGACGAAACCTCAAAATGTTGATCAAGTGAGTAATCTCTACAAGCGACTGGCTGATCAATCGTACCTGACCTGGCCTGAGCTAACCGATGGTTTACTTAGAGTCCGTACCCTCACCGGCAAGGAGATCGAACTGGACATCGAGCCTGATTACAAGGTACATACTTAGTCGTTGCATATTCCGATTCCCTTTTGCTATGGTCCCTGCCACCGTGTGTGATTCCGCGGTATCCAACAGCACCATCGCGCCATGGACGGAACACAACAAGACCTGCTCAGCATACCGATGGATTCTGTGAAAGCACATACTGAGACTTGCACCAGGTGTCCCGGATAAAGGAGCGCGTCGAAGAGAAGGAGGGTATCCCCCCGTTCAACAACGACTGATTTTCGGCGGAAAGCAAATGTATGTTGCGTTACTATGTATGTTGCTGAAGCATAAGGCTGACGATGTTCGCACCTGAAGGGCCGACGATAAGACTGCTGCGGAATATAACCTAGAAGGCGGCGCGACGCTGCATCTTGTCCTTGCTCTGCGCGGTGGCTGCAACGCTTAATGGATTCCTTCAATACGGGTGACGCCATGAAGATTTACGCGAATAGATTATGAGCTGGAGCTGTGGCACGCGTTCAACCGTGAAGCGGGAAAGAGCCCCAGGACTGCATATGAAGTTTCGCTCATACTATACCCGAGTCGTGTTGAGCAGGAGGAAGCGACTGAGAATTTGCTGAGACGAACGAAGTGGAAGAGCATTTAATCCTCGACGTCGCCCCCAGTTCCTGCACACCAGGTGCTGCATGATGTCTTCTTTTTACGCCTAGACGTCTTTCTACTGACCAGTGAACGCATTCATGACAACATTATTGAAGAATGTACACATCAAGAGAAGAGTGGCAATCCCTTGTTCAGTCACTCTGAAAGATGATTAAATTCTAAGCTTTAAACTAGATCGTGTCATGCATCATCACGCTGTAGAGAAAACTGTCCACGCTGTACCATATTTGCACCGATCCCATCGCATCCCATCCAAACTCCATACAGATATAATGGCTAATCCCGCAATGACCTAGAGAATAATTCCGTGACGGAAATAAAGGAGCCGACCAATATTGCCAACGAAAAGAAATGACAAATCCAGATGAATGTCAACAGTGTGGCATGAATGTATCCAGAAATCCAATGTCATGTATAGTGCATAAGAAAGTCATCCCTGAACCATGACCACAGGGCTGGTCGTCAATTGACCTTTTTCTTCCTTGGCTGGATGAACAGACTTGGTGCCGGTCTCTTCCGCATGACTGTGCGCGGCGGTTGAGCGGGAGGGACCCCTGAGTTGTCGGGGTCGGGAATCGCCTCCAGCAGAGATGATTTGGCGCTCTCGGCAGTGACCGTCTCATTCGTACCCTGTAACCGGCCCGCCGGGGAGAATCAGACGATCCTTGAGCCGTGGATGAGGAGAAAGGAGCCTGCAAGCTTTTACTTGCGGGAGTTGCTGATGTTCGGTATGGCGCAGTAGCCGGAGCCGGCGAGTTTTCAGAAGACTTCGGGGTCGATGAGCCCGACTGCTTCCCCGAAGTCAACGCTCGGAGCCTCGCTTCTCTTTCGCGCAATGACGCGCTATCAACAAGATTGCAAGACCCTCCAGAGGACCGAGTGCTCTGCAGCCGCGATCGCCCGGGTGCTACCAAAGTTGGAGGGCCGTTGCGCCGAGGAACAACCGGCTCGGGCGGTCGTCGGTGCTCCTCAATCAGAGAAAGAGGAGCCTTTTTAACCTGACTGGCTCTGTTGTTTAGTTGCTTGGTTGGTACGGCCAGGACAGGGTTTCTCTTCGTCAGGTTAAAGATGTTGCTCTTCTTCTTCTCCGGCCGCGGAAGCTGTGGTCGCTCATACGACCAGACAGGTGCGCCCAGCGGATCAGACGAACCCATCCCGCCCCTTGGAGAAGTAAATCTTGGTGTAAGACCTCCCATCTTCCTGTCATACGAAGCATACCGTTGCTTCGCGGTTGGCCTTTCTCGAGGCAGCGGAATAATCCGTCGGTCAGTGACGAACTTAGCGCTATGTTTGGCACGCTCGGAGTTGATGCCATCGAGAGCCATCTTGAGTTTCTCTGCATCCTCCTCCACTGCTTTTTGGACACGTTGCTGGAGATCGCAGTATACATCGTACCAGCAATGGGGCTGTTCGGGCAGATCGTATTCGTCCCATCTTGGTATATCCCTTTTAATGAAATCAAGCCAGAGTTCGGTATCCTCTTCCATGATATGCGGCGAAAGCAATTCTAGAGATCTCTAACATAGCGCAAGCGGTTGATCATCAGCAAATCGATCCAATAATATGTAAACAGGAGCTACCACTCACGAGTTTCTCGGGGCTCTCGATCTTGAGAAGGAACGGACGAGCAAGCGAATAGGGGACATTGCCAATATCGTTCAAATCTAGAAATACTGTTAGACAATGTTCCAGTACGGGAGCAGTCGAACTTAAAACTGACATTTGACGTTCCTAATGGCAGTCGAGGTGCAAAGTTGTAGTAGCGACGGCGGCGGCATTATCCTGGATGTGATGGAAGGCTAGATAAGAGCAAAGACGATGGCATGAAGAAGGTAGAGAAAATTGAAGATCCGGAAGTATTGGACGAGGTAAAGATAAAAGAACACCAAAGCATATATACCAACCGCCAACAGTCAATCATCCCCATAGTCTTATGTACTCGGATTGAACAAGAGATGAGGAAGTGCAACTGGCGATGACAATGGCCGAAGGCGGATGATGCCTGTCACATGATCTTATTGGCCAAATAGATGCACGACAATGAAGACATCCAAGAATCGCAGAAAAATATCAATTGGCTATTATTGATAGAGGGCGACCTTTATTTTGTCTACTGGACAATAACAGGTTGATAAACATTGAGCGATGGTCCTTCCAGTGCCTGGGGGTTCATAATGTCATGGTGGAACTGTGAATATATTCGTGGAACTGCCGCATGACTGGCTAATGCCAATATGTGTCACAGGATACTTCGAAGCAGGGAGAACAAGAGTTGTCTTCTGAAAATGAATACATATCTATTCAAAGGCTGCGAACGTGTGATGCTGCAATAAAGGACAAAAATATTAAGAAACAAAGAAACGGCAGCGATTTGTGGCCCTCTATAAAGCAACCCCAAACAGCCCAAAGTTCACCAAGTCCACCAAGTTTCTAGTCTGCTCATCACTAACTTTGCTGAACAGAAGGCATCTGAGCCAACCAAGTCGGCGGTGAAATGCCAGTCTGTTCATGGATTGTGCTGAAAAGGGGCGGAAGGCTCTGCATAATGTCCCTGATTGGGCCCATCGCGTCATTGGAGCTGGACCCATTTCCTGGAGGGATGTTACAAAGCCGTTTACGCGGAGGAGGTAGCGGTGTTACTCACCAGTGTTCCATGTAGTGATCCTGGGGTTAAGACCTTGAATAGCGAGACCATTTGCCTGAGCCAACTTCTCGTAAGTGCCGGTCTCTAGCATCCTGTACTGCAGGAAAGCCTGAGGGCCACCGAGAACTTCGACGAGCGCGCCATATGCTTTGGCCATTTCTAGAATCCCTTCTGCTTCGCGCTTCTGCTGATAAAAGGCGGCGTCTGTCTCTTTGCTCTGGCGATAATCTGATGTCATTAGTGCAAATGAAAAAGGAAAGGAAACGTAGGTTCAAAACGTACAGGTCGCGTCGGCTTCCATCTTCCGTCTGTATAGCTGTGCATCTGCAGCTTTCTGCTCCGTATAGAAGGAAGCGTCTGCATTTTCTTGAGCAGACTCGCGTGCGACCTTGCTTTTCGTGACTTCCACGGCTCGCAGGCGTTCGAGCTCTGTTTCTGCACGCTTGGACTCAACCTGTTTCTGCAGCTCTGCATCCCTCATTTCTGACGTTGGGCTGCAATTTTGGCAAGCCGAACACTATTATCTAGCTCAGTCTGACGGTTCATGAGCTCAGAGTCAGCCTTGGCCTTTTCGGCCTTCCGCTTTGTCTCCAAAACTGCAGTGTCGGCATCGATCTTCGAGATCTCCTGTTTCGCTCGTCCTTTCTTTTCGGCCTCACCAATTTCTCCCCTCATCCGTGCCTCAGCCACATCAATCTTCGCCTGGTTGAGGGCACCTTCATGAGCTTTACGGCTTAGGAAGGCGAAGTACTCGCTGCCTGGCGTATCCTGAAGCTCCTTCACGTTGGCGTTATAACTATAAAATGCATAAGCAAGCGAGCTAACAAGAACTCAATGTGCCAAAACGTACATTTTCAGTCCAAATTGCTGAAGCTCGCTCTGGACGTTTCGAATGACTATTCAGTATCACGTTAGCAAGTTCAAGATTCGAACTCAGTAAAGTAACAACCACGGACCCTTTGTCTTGAAAACTTGTCTCTCCTTGAATATCTCTTCCATGGTCATGCTGGAGACGATGACACGGGTCTCGCCTTCAATGATACCCTTGACAATGTCTTGGACATGACCTCGTCTTGTTGGGTCCGTCAGATCCTTGGCCTTAGCAAAATCAGCCTCGGAGGTGCTGCCGGACAGAAGCAACGCATATTTCTTCAGGGCGTCGGCTTCATTATCTGGGCCGATTGTAAAGACTGCTGGCAGTGAGAACTGCAGCTTTTCAGTAGTCATGGCTTGGAGGTTGAGAGAGAAGTCGAAAGGCGCGACAGAGATTCTTGCACACTTGATTGTAGAACGAGAAGTCAGCTACGTCGAGGTCTTAACGAATGTCTGAGGAAGACATACCCGCTGCCATGGCATGACAATGGCTTTCTTGCATATCCGTATATCATCGATCCCAGCACCCGTAAGCACGAGATACTCGCTTGGTCGAGAGATTGCGTATCTGGAGAAGACGATGAGGATTTTTGCTACGAGTGGGAACTGTCATCGCAACATACCTCATCTTGGGAACCGTCGAGGGAGAATATCAGAAAGATATAAATGTTAGGGAGATACAGGCGACAAGCAAAGTTTAACTTGTGAGCAATACTGATATATTTAGATATTCCCTTGATATGGAGAAAGCATTGCGATATGATATCTTGGAAGAACGCAGGCTTATATACCCACCAAGGGTCTTCTGAGCTCCAAGGGCTCTCCCAGTCAGCCTTGCCAGGCTTGTACCATAGGACAGTCATGTCCAAAAGGCTCTGGAGTCGACCGAGTTTGAGTTCCATACGTTGACTTCATTACGGAAATTAGGTGCGAAAAGCCACAGTAGCCTTGTATGTGTCCCACGCTAGCCATCGCCACGCCTTCAAGAAAAAGATCTCAGTGAAGAGTACCAAACATGCTCGTATTGCATCTATTCTATCATGGCGCCCTAGATCTTCTATAGGCTGTGTTTGCGGCTGATTCTCGTCGAACTCGCCTATCTTGACCGCGTTGTGATCCTGTGGATAAACAACGGATCGGGCAACGTCTTGGCTAAATGCAGGAGGCTATGGCATCGGAACGCCTGCACGTGGGTACCAGGGCAGGTTCATCTAAATGTGCTTATTGGCAGAGACGCAGTTCTGTAGGTTCAACCACCTCAAGCAGACTGAGCCTCCTCGACGTGTCTAATCATGCCCGTCTGCTATAACAAACATTATGTTAGGTTAGAACTGATGACACAAGTCCATAGGGCTTCAATTCTAGCGGAAGCAATTGGCATTTTAATCTTGCGGGAACACGACTTTGCGTGCATGAAGCGTCACCAGGCTCTTACTGCAGGCAGCTAACAATGTTGAAAAGGTGATAGTTATCGTTTCCTCGTCGATGTTTACACAAGCATCCCACGTGATTCCCTCAAACAAACATTGCAAACTAGCTCTTTTGATAGCATCATAGCGATGGAGGGGCATGGGAGGACGGCAATTATCTTGAATTACCTTCTACAGCTTAACAAATTCGAATCACTGTGTTACTCCTTGAGCTGCACGAGATCTATCCTCATCAAGCAGAAAGAATCAGGCAGAAGGTACGTTGATCTCGTTCGCGGTATTTGCATCACCACCCCCCCTGCGGAATTTCGAGCCATATATTTTTATGACCCTCGACGGCGGGCGCACCATTGCATCTTGGACTGGCAAAGGGCTCACAGCCTCTCAATGAATATACCAAGCTGTCTACAAATCATTCGCTGTGGCTTTTGCACATGTTGGGCACCCGAGAAGCAATTGGATTCTAATATGTCACTTGCATGACATCATCTGAAACATCTTTGCCCGGCTATTTCAATGGACTATTTCAATGGAGATTACTGACAAGTTATGAAGTCCAAATCGTCAATATGGCACCACGCTCTCAACTAGAGATTGCTACATCCTCTGTTGAACGTCTGGTGAAGGAAGAGGCCTCCTACCACCGCGAGCTCCAACAACAGACGGAAAGAATCCAAAAGCTAGAGTCTCAAGAGGCTGGCGAGGACGAGAACCGAGAATACATGCTGAAGCAGGAGGTGGGTCTCACTAGAGTAAAGACATCTCCTCGATTCTGACAGTCATGCAGCGCCTTGCACTTGAAGAGACCAAGAAAGTTTTGCCCAGTTTGAAGCAGAAGATCGATGAGGCTGTAGCAAAACTTGAGAGCCTTCTGGTGAGTCGTGTATGTGATTGCGGCAGTCTGACTATTACTGACATTCGCCAGGCCGAGGAGGGAAAGAAAGGCCCCGAGAGCAATGTAGAGCAGATCACTGCTGGCAAGGAGGCCATCGCAAAAGCCAAGACGGCCAAAAGGGAAATCGCCTAGAAGCCAGTACGATTTCTCTCAATGCATCCTTTTTCTGAGACTGCGCTGCCTCCATCAGGTAGGACTAAACTGGCCAGTCGAGAGACAAATCTGGTGTATAATAAGACAATTTTGACGAAAAACTGAACACCTCCAGCATAACTCCATGCTATACGGATCCCAACTTAGTTTTAGACTCACGTAGTGTCCATTCTGTCAGCAGTTTTATCATCCGGATCAGCCTCTCCTTCTTCCAATTCGTCAGGGTGTTCTGACCCCTCCTCTCCGGTCACTTCACCTTCGTCCATGTTGGTATCCTCCTGGTCCGCGGTGGATACGTTTCGCAAGGGAGACGCTGCCCCTGTCGTCGCAGACATTCTGTCTGCGTGCAAACCAGCTGAAGATCGGGCCCCTTCATCCTGGCTGTGCTGAGAGGGAGTGACGGTATCGGACTCTGGTCGAGGTGTATTGGCTCCGCTAGATTTGCCTTTCGAAGGAACGTCCCCTTCATCTCCATCTTCGCCTTCTTGCATGCCTTCCCTGCGCTCTACCTCCTCCTTCTCATCGCGAATGAGACGCCGAAGTTGCATGCCCTCTTCTACAATGCGGCCAAACTGTTCTCGCCGCTCGGCCCATGTCTTGGCATATTCCTTGCTTTCATTCTCGAGATCCGCAATTTCTGCTTGGAGCTTCTGTAGGTTCGCCTGCTGATCTTCGCGTGGCTTTAGAAGCCTGTTGCTTGTGATCTTCTCAGCCAGTTCATCATAGCTTTTCCGTAATGCTAGTAGCCGTTGAGCTTCCTCAAGTTGAACCCGTAGTTCTGCCGTGTTTTCGCGAACGGCCTGCATTGTGGACAAAATCCGAAGCTTTTCGGCGGCATACCGCTCGCGTTCTCGCTCGTTGCTCGTAAGGAGAAATTGAATGCGCGCGATACTGCCTTCAAAAGAGGCAAAATCCAGATTCACATCCTCGCGGAAATTGCGCCATTCATCCAGCCTTTTCTGCTTCTCAGCTTCTGCTGCTGCTGTAGCGTTCTCGTCTGTTTCTTCAGGCGACGGGGTAGGAAGGATTGTCGCATTGGAAATCACGAGTGAGTTTGGGTTAAGGAGCCGTTTCGATATACGCTTGAAGGGTTTCTCTTCGACATTCAAAAGGCGTAACTTGTGTAGGTTATCTGCATCCCAAATTTAGCATGGAAGGAATTGAGCTTGAGGAACGATGACACCAACCTTCCTCTGGTTGATCAAGCAAGCCGTACGACGCCATCCTGTTAAAACTTGTAGCGGAGAGCTGTGATCAGTATTGATTGCAACAAAATTAATCACAGTCGAAGATTGTCCAGCTCGTGGCTATGAAGGTGTTACAGGATGGCCGTGTGAGCGGTCGGAGAAGCAGCTAAAAGCGGCACAGCTTGATCTTTCGGCATGCGCCCGATGTTGTGGTTCACCCCCCAGTCTCCTTATCGGCATTTTTCAGACCACCCCAGAGGTACTTCTGGGCGAAAACAACGGCTTACCAGCGCTCTTCTTGCGCGTACTATGCCAGATCACTATGCCATCGCAGTGATGCCAAATTTTACATGTGTCATTTTCTTCATCAAACGTACAAGCTCCCAGTGATCGGATAGAAAGGCGTGCCGTGTGTGGACAATGCTCATCGCAGTTGGTATGGCCTTCCAGCAAGCGCTTCGCCTTAACGACGTCCAGATGCACCACTGATGGAATACGATCCGTGCGACCACAAACCTGGCCCGGCTGTTCGGTGTAGTCGACCGCTCTCATGACGGAGATGTACTCGGGGCTCCATGTGGGCCAACGATTCATCTCGCTGGAAGAGTTCAAGTCAGTTGTGCGAAGTATATCAGTCAGGCAGCATTGGGAACTTCGGGTGACCCGAAGCAACAAGAAAGGCGTTGTCATAGGGTGCCGATCGTCCGCCAATTGCTACTTCCGCGTTGTCTGCCGTGCAAACAAAAACGAGACTTACATAACGAGCCTTCAGGATAGCCATAGCTGTCGACGGCATGCAGCATCTCCAGGAACAACTCCAGCCCGGTCCGAGGCTTCGCATGTGCGGTTCTTACTAAACGAGATACCAAAGTTGTTTGACCTGAGTCACAAGATCAAGGGACAAGATGTTGTAGATGCGGTCAAGCGGTATCATGGATATGACATATCCATAAGACAAGCGCACCGAGCGCTCACCAAATTACAACCAAGGCTATCACATCAACAGAACGAAGAACCAGGGGATCGCGCTTTGAACGGGGATAACCAGCCCGGTCCCTTGGTTCACGCCACGCCGTCGGTCAATGGCTCAGTTTACAGTGCCATCTCCGAGCAAAGATGGATTCCCGACAATGTTCATCAGTCGGGATTCCTGGAAAAGCAACCTATCGAGCTGACAGATGATCCAAGTCATGAGTCTCCGCAACCAGCAGAGCTTGCTCGCGATGCTGTGGAGCCACAGATTCCATCACGACGTCCGCAGCCAGTGCATGGTTCATCCCAAGTACAACTTCCATCCGGGGCACAACCACAGGAGCAGATTACGCTCAATGATGAGTTGCGCACGACTGATGAGCAGCAGTCAGATTACATACTATCGGCACCTACAGTACTGTCTGCACCACAACCGGGGCCGTCTCAATCTCCACAACAGCCACGCAGTACTGGACATCCTTCTGCGCCACAGATAATCTTGACCAATTTCAAGATCGAGTTCACCTGTACTGCTTGTGGAGCTTTGAATCAAAGCTTTATCCCAAATCAGGGGAATATAACTGGTGGAGCGTACTTGCCTTCAAATAACATAATCAATCATGGCCCTGTCGGCAGAACTACAAGTTCTTCAATGCAGTCAGGTGCCAGCGGTGTTGAACGTGTGGCCCAGACTAATGAATATGTGGAAGCTCCTTCAGCCAACGCACGAGGCATACAGCCGCTATGGCAGCCGGGGAGTGTCCCGGTTTCAATTCCACCCACACATACGTGACCATGTCTGAGGACATCTACCTGACTGCCAAAAAATTATAATCCTTCAAGACGATTCTCGGACCGTATCACTCTCTGAGCGCCTACTCTACAGCTCCTTGAATCGGGGCCTCAAAGTTGACACACTGAACCTCAAATCCGTCAAGAACTTATGATCTCTGCCGGCCAGATCTAAACTCAAGACAGAATCCAGGCATCC